AAGACCTTCATCTCCTCAGAAAAGCTCCGAGTAAGAGGAGAAATCATGTGTTTTTGGTAAAAGTGATCTCTGTAAAACTATTAACGCTTATAACTGATTAGTTTGTTCGCTGTAATTCAGTCGAAATCGCTAAAGCTGTTTGGGTAAACCTAAAAACTGTTAGCTAACCCATCTTAATTTGAATCCAGGTTCATTTATCAAGCTTAACTTCGTCCATTTTAGGATAGGATAACTCCTGTAACCGTGCTAAACAGGGTCAAACACAGAAGATTTTCCTAACCTCAAGTTATCGTGTAAACCACTCAGCTAACCAGCTAACGTTAACCTTAGCCCGGTAAGCTAAGTCGACTGACGCTAGCTAACGCTAGGTTAGGTAGGTTCGCTACGTTCGTCAGCATTTAAGGCTGAAATACACAGTGATATAGACGCTCAGTGAGCCCATTGCTCCCTATCCGTCATTTCACCAGGCTCAGTTTTATCTAAGCTTATAAACTGCATTAAACATCGATCTAGCTGACGGTTTGGCTCAGTAACGTGCAGTAGGTTTAGGTTGTCTAACGTTAGCTAGCAGGGATTTGAGGTGGCCACATGATATAACAGTAATGTCCTGTTCAAAGCAGTATTTATTTTCTATAACTGATAACTTATATGATGGTGAAATTACATTTATTGTGAATGTCTTTTCTCTCTATTCAGTTTTCATCCCACATTGCTTTCAAGCTCAGCTTCCAGTACGACGTCTTATGGAAATGTGAGCATCCCATTAAATAAATCTCCACACCATGTATGAATGAAATGTGAATAATTTGGACCAATAAATTAAATTTGAATTGGAGCCCAGTTTTGAGTCCTATATGTAATAGTACAGTCTCCTGTGTATCACCAGTTTCTCTCTGCTTATTTTTCACCCCTTGTGGTTTCCAGTTTCTGCTTTTAGAGTAAATCTTGTGGAACTGGAAGTATTTCTTTAAAGACTTTTCTACACCATGGTGGAATAAAATTAAGTAAAGTTAGAGCTCCAACTGTGTTCACGACTTCTTTATGGTATTGTAATGTTTTTTCTGGTGTTAAAATATGTTCATAATGAATCTGTAGCAGATGTGAACGATTTGTGTGAATAATTTGCACTTTGCTAACTTAAACTACAGATCGGCTTTGTTTCTGAATGATATATATATAATCATAAAGTCTCCTATGATGTCCAAGTGTTTCTCTGAATCGTGTCTTTCTCTCTGTTCAGTTTTCAACACATGCTGCTTCCAACTTCCGCTTTAAGGACTAAATCTCATTGAACTGTAAGTGTTCCTTTTTAAAGATTGACCCTATGAATGATTGGTGAGAATAATTTGGACGTCCCAAATGAAATCAGATTTCAGCTTTATTTGATGAACCTTGAACTTGCTCCCAAGTTCTGCTTCCACCAAAAAATCTGGTGGAACTGGAAGTATTCCTTTAAAAAAAATTCCATGTTGTATAAAGAGATATGAAATTGGAGCCCAGCTTTGTTTATGAGTGCAGTTTATGGTGGCAAAGTCTCCCACAATGCTGAAATGCATTCAGTGTGAATCATAGTTTTCTCTCTCTGTTCAGGTTTCATCCCATGTTCCTTCAAAGTTCTGCTTCTACCACAAAATCTTGTGAAAGTGTAAGTATTCAATTAACATATTCACTTCATGCCATGTTTGAAGAAATAAAGGTAAATAAAATTAAAACCCAACTTTGTTTTTGAGTGCTGTATATGATGCTAAAGTCTCCTGTGGTGTTGAAATGCATTCATTGTGAATCATGGCTCTCTGTCTGTTCAGCTTTCAGACAACGTTGTTTCCAAGTTCTGTCTCCACTACAAAATATTGTGGAACTGTAAGTATTCTTTTAAAGATTTTTCCACCCCATATATGAATGATTTGGTCATCAAGAATGAAATTAGACCCCAGCTTTGCTTATGAGTGAGGTATATGGTGGTAAATTGTCCTATGATGTTGAAATCTGTTCATTTTATTTTAGCTTTGTTAGACTAAATTTACCTCAAGGCTAAATTTCTCCCATTTTCAGTGTAATATTGAGTTAATTAACTACAAAGACATTTTTCACTACCTTTTTGTTCCCTATTTTTCCCCAAGACTTGCAGTAATAATTGAGTTGACTTTAGGGGTCAGGTTCCCGGACAGGGATTAAGCCTAGTCTTCAACTACCCAGCATTCTAAAGGAAATTCTTCATTGTAAGGAAAATGTACAGGAGTAGCTTTAATGCCTGTCCAGGAAACTGACCACAGATGTTAATTCAGGGTGGTGACACAAAATTTCATCACTTTAAACCAACCAATCAAGTTCTGTGGGTTTTTTTCTAGAACTGGTCCTAATAATTTAAATACTCAAGTATTTATTCTGTTTATTATTATTCTGTAAGGCGATGATTCTGGATGGTGCCACTTTCTGGTTATATGCTGAACTGCAGCAATGAACATATGTGATTTTGAGTAGAAGTATCCTGGTATTTTTTGGTATTTGGAAATACCAACTAGGGCTGCAACAAATGACTAATTTGATAGTTGAACAACCTATCGATTACTGAACAAATTATCGATTATACAGATTATGAAATCATTACATTATCAAATGACTCTTATGTAGCTATTGGCTTTAAAATTTAGCTTGAGGTTGTTTTATGCATTTGCTAACTAACAATGAAGACAATAAAAATGAAATTTATTTTTAAATTCACTGTTGTAATGAACTTTCCCTCTAATACTAAAGATAAATAAAACTCCAATTTATTTTTCCTGTCAAAATTTAAAATCAAGGTTGTACAAAGTAGCAGCAAAAAAACATAACAAAACTAAATCAGTTTCCCTTTAATCGAGTAAATAAATAAATAAATCTACATTCTGTGCTCTGTGTGTTCTGCGGTCTGTCTGCTGTCTACACTGTGCTGAAACTAAATTCTACAATCACAGGTCTTTAGTGTGACGGAGGAAGGTCAGCATCTCTCCGAGCTCCTGTGAGAGTCTCGCTGTCCTCTGAGAGCAGATATTTACTCCCCGCTGCAGAGGAGACGCGCTCTGATGGAGCGGAGGGGAAAGTGGTGAATGTTTGTGAGAAACTTCTCTATGAACAGTTAAATCTGAATGATTTTGAAACATTTCAATTCGACGGTATCCCTTCGTCCAGCTGCCCTATATGTTCATGTAGATCTACCTCCTAAAACTGTTTGCGAGTGGAGCCAAACGTTTGCGGAAAACAGAAAATAGATTGGAATCGCTCTCCTGTGTTGGAATTTGGATGCACTGGTGGACTCGACGTGACGATGACGATGCAGCATTTAAAAGCGTGAACGTTATCTGGAAAGTGAACAGGGTCGCTGTGAATAACAGTTACTTGCTTTTCTGGTCCAACTCCATTAACGATACCAGAGAACATGCGATGTTACAGCTCATAACCTGAAGTAGGACAGCTTTTAACATTAACTAACTAGATCGAAAGCACAACTATCGCCACGTCCCAAACCACACACCTCTGCGCTTCTCACACTGCACTAAGGAGTGCACTTCTAATGGCATATGTGTTATTTTTACACACTATTTAGTGAGCTAGTATGCGGTTTGGGACGGGGCGTATCTCACCGAGAATCATCTTCTTTCAGACAACCTTTTTTTCTGAGTTTAGCTCCACACTTTGGAGGATTTTGTTCTTGTTAAGTCTCCACTAAGCAGCAATATCAAAACATTCCTAGTGAGCGCAAGAAAGACGCGTAGTGACGTCACCAACTAATTGACTACTAAATTAGTTGCCAACTGATTTGGTCGTCGATTTTAGTCGACTAAGTCGAATAATCATTGCACCCCTAATACCAACGAGTATTTGAGGTCTGTAAATTGCTGTTTGGGCAGCCCAATTTTTTCCTCATCGTAGTTGTTAGACATGAATGGGTTAATATGGAATTAGTACTGATAACATATCCAAGCATGTTTCCATGAACATTATTTACGCTTAAAAAACAGTTCAAATGATCACATTTCCCACAGAAAAAGCGGGGGTGGGAGGCTGTGTGCCAGTGCGGCAGGCAGATATCATGCCTGTACATGAAGTCATCTGTTTTATGTCATCCTCATTCCACAGGGTCAAGTTTCAAGAAAAAACAAAAACAGCTTTTGGTCTTGGTAAAAACGTGTCTTGTCACAGCACTCATGAAAATGGACATGAACCCAAACAGCTCTTGTACAGTTGCAGATCGGCCTGTGCTGGCTGAGCAGAAATCTATTAAAATCCACTAAGAACCACCAGAAATCCCTAATGGCTTCTAATGTTTTTTCAGCAGGAATGTGTGAGCACTGCACCCATACCCTGTGAATCGAATCAGCTGATGGTTAGGCAGGAGAGATGGAGTGAGGTTTGGTTTCATTTCTCTGATTGTGGTACATGCAGACAGTACACCTCTTAATTTTAATGCAGTGTATGTGAGAATATTTTTATCAAAAATATATGTGAGCGACTGGGATGGACTGGTGAAAGTTAAAACAGAAATAGGACGTTTAATGGAGGCTAATGGAACATTATGGGGTTGCCGAACAATCTTCAGGAGGTGCTTCAGCACCCTTTAGCACCCCCCGTCGCTGTTCCTGGGTGTGTGTTTAGTTAGTTGGGTCAAGTGTCTATCATGAAGCAAAGGTGACCTTCCCTGCTAAAGGGCTGCTCTACGTACATTTCTGCTGGTGTAAATAAAGAGCAGTTTTCTGCTCTCTGCTCGGGAACCGGTGCCGTGACTCCGGATCTGTGTATGAAAATCCGCCCACTAAGGTTATTTATGTGAGCTGAATGAGTGTCGGAGTTCAGGAACAGAAGGGACACGGACCCTAAACGACGCTCAGTGACACTGGGGCAACACTTCGCACAGAAATCACGACAAACGAAGAGCATACAAAGGACTAAACACGTAGAGTAGAATCGGTGAACGGGCGAAGCTGATTTGGGATTGGCTGGTGCCTGAGCGCTCTGAGTCACGTGATCCTCCTCTGAATTCTGGGAGTTGGAGTTCGGAAGTCTGGTGAGTGTTTTCTCAGGTTCGTCATCAGATGAAAAACAGAGAAAGCGAAACTAAGTAACAACAGATTTTTGGTAGAAAAGAACTCCGTCAAGTCCTCGTTTTTCGACTAATATCGACTGAGGGCAGCGATACTCCGTCCTAACGGGTAAGTTATCACCTTTAAACACCCCAAAACGCCGTAAATACAGACGCGTACCGAGCAGCGGCCACACCGTTATCCGGCCAGGGCCAGAAAATGGAGTCTAGCTGCGCATTTAGTGGAGTGAGATCAACAAAACCAGCTCTCACTCGGTTTACGTCGTCTAATCTCTACAGTAACGCGTTTTATCTTGAGTTTATGTCGAACTTTTACTAGATGTTCAACTTTCCGTTTCTTATGAAATAAACGTCCAGAAGTGATCAAAAGTTTTCACGTTTGTGAGAAATCAGCGAACAAACTACAAACATATTTTAAAACTTCTTTTGTAACAGCTCGCTGAAGAAAACGGGTCTGGATCCATTTTTAAAAAAATATCTCTTAGATAAATTTGAATGGATACCTTTTCTAGGCCTAAAGCTCTATTTACGGTCCTGTTAGACTTACAGTTATAAAGTTTTCGTATCCGGAAACACATCGTAGTGAAGGTTTCCTCAAGATGCGTAAAAATTTAATACATAAAACTATATGAACTACTTTCTACAACTAAACAGTAAGTTTGTAAATATGCTTTATGTCTGCTTAATGTTTCCTGTATAAGATTGTCTTTAATGTAGTCATAAAACGGTGCAGTCAGAACAAGCTGACATGTTTGTAAGGTGTCAGAAAGAACAGACTCGTTCCTTTTATTAATGCTGATTTAATAAATATTAGCTTTATTAATTAATTAACTTACACAGCAAAACACTGTGATACGTTAGTGAAATATCCTAATTTTTTTAATCTTGGCTCATTTACCTTCCTTCCCCCAAAATGTGCACATTATAGACAAGTTACACCCATCAGCCATAACATTCTGACCACCTCCTTGTTTCTACGCTCATTGTCCATTTTATCAGCTCCACTTACTATATAGGTGCACTTTGTAGTTCTACAGTTACAGACTGTAGTCCATCTGTTTCTCTGATACTTTGTTAGCCCCCTTTTACCCTGTTCTTCAGTGGTCAGGACCCCCATGGACCCTCACAGAGCAAGTACTATTTGAGTGGTGGATCATTCTCAGCACTGCAGTGACACTGACGTGGTTGTGGTGTGTTAGTGTGTGTTGTGCTGGTCTGAGTGGATCAGACACAGCAGTGCTGCTGGAGTTTTTAAACACCTCAGTGTCACTGCTGGACTGAGAATAGTCCACCAACCAAAAATATCCAGCCAACAGCGTCCTGTGGGCAGCGTCCTGTGACCACTGATGAAGGACTAGAGGATGACCAATACAAAATGTGCACGACCCACCACCCAAATAGTACCTGCTCTGTGAGGGTCCATGGGGGTCCTGACCACTGAAGAACAGGGTAAAAGGGGGCTAACAAAGTATCAGAGAAACAGATGGACTACAGTCTGTAACTGTAGAACTACGAAGTGCACCTATATAGTAAGTGGAGCTATAAAATGGACAATGAGCATAGAAACAAGGAGGGGGTCATAATGTTATGCCTGATCAGTGTGTATCCGGCACCTATTTTAGTGGACCCAGCACCTCATTCACATTACATAAATTCATGTGACCATCTGTAGAGATGCGTCGATGAAAATAATATTTCTTACAAACAACTATATATTACATAACAAAATGTGACAAAAGGTTACTTAAAAATAATGTGCTGTCATTTTGTTTTATGGCACACATACAGTTTCACTTCCAGCTCCTGTGTGGGCACATGGCGGCAGAAACGGTACTAAAACAACCCAATTCATCACTTGCAAATTTACTATTACTGACTATCCATTCCTTTACAGACCTCAATAGCACTGTTAATAATGCTGTGCAGAAGCACTGACTTGTGACCAGTAGTGGTGTCAGGACTGCCATTTTGGATGTTTCTGACTTTGCATAAGACGTGTTCGTGTTTCCATTCCATATTCAGCAACGATGGTCTTGGAAGAGTTTTTCTGCGACGTGCTTTTGTCCTGTCTGAAGTCAAGTGCCTCGCAGTTATGGTTACTGGTTAAAAATGGAAATTTGATTGATCAACATTAAAAAATAGAATTTTAGAATTTCAGAAATAGAAAGTCACGTATATTGAATTCATTTTTATTTGTGGTAATGAAAAAGTGGATGGGACTAGTCCTGCTTGCCCAATCTTATCTCCACCACTGGCTTGTGACATTGATTTATTAACTACAAATCATGCATTAGAACCTGTTGTTTTGTTTTGGGAACCCCATGTATGAGAGATTACTTGGTGTTTAAGATCCTCATTAACACATTTGTTGTGCTGCTTTAGACAGTTAGATGGACACAGCTTATACAGGGCTGCGGGTGGGAATGATACATGTTTAGGTTGCGCGCGAGAGCAGGACCAACGGTACAGATTTTCTGCAAGAGTGGGCGGGGCGGGATGAAATCTTGTGGGAGCAGAGCTAAAAAATCTGAGTGCAAAGCTAAAAACACAGGAAATACAAACACAAAGGAAAAATCTTATCAAGGTTTTATAAATAATTTTTCTAAAATTATGCATTATATTATTGTGGTCAAGAAATCGTCATCAGGTCAGGCTCCATAAATGAAACCTGATGAAATATTAGTGGTTCAGATTTTGCGCGGATTGCATTAAACCTGTAATGTAACTGTAACGAAAATTATCGCTATAGCTACACAAATATTCATAGGCGCTGCAGCTGTTAGCTACATTTCATAAAACTGTAGTGGGTACAGCTGTTAGCTACAAAAATTTTTAGGTAGCTTAACTTGAAGGATGTCACTCCCACAATGAAGCACAAACAGGCCCAAACATGGTGGCTCCCACTGTCAGTCTTCACAGTCAAATTCCCCCAGCATAGCAAACCCCGAATTACCCCAAACACATTCCCTGAATGCCACGGTTTTACTTAATGACAATAAATGCTTTGGCTTGACTTTGATGACAAAAAAGGTTCTTTTCAGAATCTGTTTGAGGTTTCTGCTTTAATGTTGATCATGAATCAAATGTTTTATTTATTTTTTTATTTTATTTTATTTTATAGGCGCTGTCTACACCATAAAAAATGGGTAAGTGCATTCTGTTTCTCTTCTATCTCAGAGTGGAATTGTATAGAGAGCACCCTAGCGCCTCCTCTGGACAAATTAAAGAACTTCTCCAAGGGTGACTGTAACCCCTTCTGGTCATGTCAGAGGGGGAAAGTAATGATTTACACTCCTTTGACTACTTGAGTACAATTTTTGAGTATGGTACTTTTTGACTAGGATTAAATCACAGTACTTTTACTCAAGTTTATTTCTAATAAAGTACTTTCATTTCACTAGTTTTAATAACTTACAGAGGACAAAATGAAAGGATTCAGTTCTGAAAGCCAATCAAAGCACAGCAGCGCCCTGATGCAACGCATCAAAAACAGAAATAGTCTGTCGCTTTGCAGCTCATCACCAGTGGCGTCTTTGGCACAGAAAACCTTGTGGGGCACAAGAAACTGTAGGGGCGGCAGCGACTCGTCAATGAAACAACACACAGGGAGTTGGTGGAAGGGGACAAAATAATATGAGTGATATGATAACGACATTAGATCTCACAAAACCTTGTTATACAGCATCGCATTACAAATCTAAAGTTATCTAGCAGTGTACATGATTGTGGTCTGCAACTACACATCCAAAAAAACATATCAGAGAGGGAAACGCGCTTTCCGGGCTTTAGGAATAACACGCCTTGTTAATGATGCAGAATGACTCACCAGTGATGGTCACTGCTCCAGAATAAAAGATGCATGACGATCTGAGCAAACTTGTCAAAAACTTTTCTCTCAAAGTCCAACAACCCATGAATGGATTCAAGTGATAGCACAGCAAGACCAGTCAAGGAAAGCAGGAGAGTGTTTTTAGCTACACTCACAATTAGCCATGTTTTTCTCTTGAACCTCTCTGGATTGACAGAGCGGTTTTAGTCCTTTCCAGACTGAATGATGTTGAAATCCTCTGCCTGGTGTGTCCCAAACATTTAATCTCTAACTTCTGCTCTAATGGCAGGAACCAAAATGAACTTTTATTACATTTTTGACTCATTATATTGCCTTGCTATTAGGAGCAGCTACCACAACTGATGACGAACTATGACTAGCTGAGTAGCAACGCCCATAAACAGCGTTACTAAACATCTGGATGTGTGTAAATTTACTACTTTTTATTGGCTGCTCTCAGCAGGGGGCCAACTTGATCGCCCCCACAGCTGGTTACTGAAAGCGTGTTGAACATGTGCAGAGTGTTTTTAACTGCTCACTTGGTTAGACGAGCGCTGACGGCCCCACGCTCACCAAACCAAGACTGCTAGGAGAAATAGGGAGCCTACTGGCCTTTACACAGCAGGTACAGGAAGATATTTGGAGTGTATCAAACAGCCCTACCACTGTCATATAGTAAATGTGCAGCAATGTTGGTTATGACATATATATATGTTTATGTATATATTCACACACACACCGATCAGGCATAACACAATTACAGACTGTAGTCCATCTATTTCTCTGCATACTTTGTTAGCCCCCTTTTACCCTGTTCTTCAGTGGTCAGGACCCCCATGGACCCTCACAGAGCAGGTACTATTTGGGTGGTAGACTCAGCACATCTGGGATGGGGTCTTGGATTCTCAGTAGGTTACTCAGCTGCATCATAGAGAGCATCTTGACCAGCTGCCTCAGAGTGGTAAGGGCTGCTGAGAAGGTCTTTACAGCATTGTTACCATCTCTGTAAGACGTCTGTCACCAGAGAGTCCACAGAAGAACCTGCAGCTTCATCAAAGACTCCACCATCCCCACCACAGGTGTTTCACACTGATACCGTCTAGCAGGAGATGGAGACGTGTGAAATGCAGGACCTCTAGGTGATTTGGGCAAGATGGAAATTTGAATACTTGTTCATCAAGAACCAAAGTAAATGCATGTGCCTCATATTTCAAAAGATTGTAATGAATTCAGTATCAGTAGACATGAAACAGCAAATATTAGTAAATATTCAGGAGAGAAACTAAAGCAGCTGCAGCTACTCCAATCTCACAGCACCAGTTTCCAGTCAGAGTGAGCTCACATAAAGCTCCAGTTCTATACGCTGATATCTCAAATGTTTTGAATCATTTGTGAATAATATTTCAAAATTAAATAATATTTGAAAAAAGTTGGACACCCCTGCTCTAGGCTGAGGGACTTAGTTTATCCTCAAGCCATCAGACTGATCAACAGATCCAATCGGCTGCCCCTACCCCCTGACCCACCTCACCAGACAAGAACCTTCACTCTGCCCCATCCACACACACACACACACACGCACAAGATGCACAGATGAACATACATACTTCATATTGCACATTCACAGACATGAACCTCTGCCTTGTACAGAATCTTTCTGCACAACTTTTTGTACTTTATAATTGTGTATATTGTATCTAATATTATTCTTTGTTTTCTTTATTATGGTTGCGCCTTGCTAACTTGCTAACTATATTGTTATCCGATTTATATTATTCTTCTTCGAGATATCAACACGGTTCCAACTCCAGATTGTCCAACTTTTTGATCGGATGCACGGATTCCGTGCAGGAAGGGAATTTTGCGGAATTTTTCCCATAGAGAATGAATGGGGTGAACATTTGCATGCCAATCTAAGGTACTTCTGCTTGCCCGATCGACACCGTTTTTGATACACTATCTCAGGGCAGGCCCACAAGCATGAATCCGCTGTCGTTCTGACCTGCACTCATCCGTTTGTCGTTTTATTCCCTCTTTCCTCTTTCTCCCATAGACTTAGATTGAGCGGACTGTTGGCAGCATGCCAGACATGATGTCACAATGGCCCCTTAACTCACACACCCATCCAGACTCACGCACGGAGCCCAATGTCTCACCCGCTCTCAGCCTAATGCTCAGCAGTGTCAGCACACATGATGATTTTTTAAGGTGGAACGGCTTTTAAGGTGGAATTGCACTTAGCTAGCACAAGAACTAATCCACAGCCATACTGACCCGCACTCCTCTTTTTGTTGTTTTTTCATCCCTCGTTCCTCCCATATAGTCCCATTAATTGTTGCCACCACTCAAACTCTATTACTTCTTTGCCTGACAGTCACCAAAATGCATGTACTCATTCAGGGCAGGTCCCCAAGCTCTAATCGACAGCCATCCTGACACGCACTCCTCTATTTGTCGTTTTTTGATCCCTCGTTCCTCCCATAGAGTCTCATTCATTTTTACCACCACTCAAACTCTATTACTTCTTTGCGCGACAGCCACGAAAATGCATGCAGTCATTCAAGGCACATCTCCAAGCTCTAATCCATAGCCATATTGACCCGCACTCCGCTATTTGTCATTTTTTCATCCCTCATTCCTCCCATAGAGTCTCATTCAGTTTTTACCACCACTCAAACTCTATTACTTCTTTGCCCGACAGTTACCAAAATGCATATGCTCACTCAGGGGACGTCCCCAAGCTCTAATCCACAGCCATACTGACCGCACTCCTCTTTTTGTTGTTTTTTCATCCCTCGTTCCTCCCATTGAGTCTCATTCAGTTTTTGCCTCCACTCAAACTCTATTACTTCTTTGCCTGACAGCCACCAAAATGCATGTGCTCATTCAGGGCACGTCCCCAAGCTCTAATCCAGAGCCATACTGACTGGCACTCCTCTATTGGTCATTTTTTCATCCCTCGTTCCTCCCGTATAGTCCCATTAATTTTCGCCACCACTCAAACTCTATTACTTCTTTGCCCGACATTCACCAAAATGCATGTACTCATTCAGGGCACGTCCCCAAGCTCTAATTCACAGCCGCCCTGACCCGCACTCATCTGTTTGTCGTTTTTTCATCCCTCGTTCCCCCCATACAGTCCAATTTATTTTCTTTCGCAACAAAGCTATCATCAGTCTTTTTCTCAACAGCCACCAAAGTACATGTACTCACTCAGATCAGGTCTCCAAGCTCTAATCCACCGCCTTACTGTCCCACACTCCTCTATGAGTACTTTTTACATCCCTCATTCCTCCTATAGAATTCCATAGTAACCGCGGCGCAACCATTCTGCGTTTCCTTTAGGAAATGCACTTTTCTAGTTATTATTATTCTTCTTATTTTTCTGCAGTTTCTTTGCCGCGTTACTCGTCCCGCAGTTTTGAACACATCAACACCGTTCCAACTCCAGATTGTCCGGCCTGATTGTGTGATGCGTGCTTGTATACAAGTTTTTGATCGGATGCACGGATTCCGTGCAGGAAGGGAATCGTTTTATCCGATTTATATTATTATTGTTATTATTATAATTATTTTTCTGCCGTTTCTTTGCCACGTAACTCGTCCTGCAACTTTTGAGATATCAACACGGTTCCAACTCCAGATTGTCCGGCCTGATTGTGTGATGCGTGCTTGTATACAACTTTCTGATGGGATGCACGGATTCCGTGCAGGAAGGGAATTTTGCGGATTTTTTTCCCATAGAGAATGAATGGGGTGAACATTTGCATGCCAATCTAAGGTACTTCTGCTTGCCCGATCGACACCGTTTTTCACACATTATCTCAGGGCAGGCCCACAAGCATGAATCCGCTGTCGTTCTGACCCGCACTCATCCGTTTGTTGTTTTATTCCATCATTTGTTTCTCCTGTTGACTCCCCTCGTTCCTCCCTTAGAATCACATTTATTTTCGGTCAACCCATAGCCCTGTTTTTTCCATTGTGCAACAGACACCGAAATGCATGGGCACATTCCCAAGCTCTAATCCACAGCCACACTGACCCGCACTCCTCTATTTGTCGTTTTTTCATCCCTTGTTCCTCCCATGGAGTCTCATTTATTTTCTTTCGCAACAAGGCCCTGATCTGTCTTTTTCTCAACAGCCAACAAAGTACATGTACTCTTTCAGATCAGGTCTCCAAGCTCTAATCCACAGCCATACTGACCCACACTCCTCTATGAGTACTTTTTTTCATCCCTCATTCCTCCTATAGAATTCCATAGTAACCGCGGCGCAACCATTCCGCGTTTCCTTTAGGAAATGCACTTTTCTAGTTTTATAGTTTGTACTATGAAATATCTTTGATGAAACAAAGTCAGAGATTAAAATACTGGCTTTTTCCCAGTTCAGACGTCTGTCTGTTTAAGAACTGCCAGCTATGAAAGTGGCTTCATTGTAGAATCGTTAGTCTGAGTCCAGCTTTGCAGACAGGATGTAAAATGTGACGTGATCATGGCGTTCATATGGATCATAGCAGTCTCAGAGATTAAGGATTTATCAATAAATCTAATTTAAAAAATCTAAAAAAAATACTTAAAGTAAACCTAAATTAAAGTTTTATTCTTTTGTTCTAAAAGAAAGAACAGAATCAGTCCAGACCTCCAAACACTTAAACAGTCTCAACCTGCAGCTTTTCCCCTGATATCATTATGGCTGTGTTCAATGTGGCTCATTGTACTAGTAAGTTTAGAAGAAGCAGTGTTAAGTTTTATCTAGTAATATCTCAGAAACGTAAAAGTCGTAATAAACAAGCACTAGATTTGAGTGTTTTGTACCGTCTTGATTTGAAATCATTTTTCATGTATATTATGCTGAGTATTTGGGTGATGGGTCATTCTCAGCACAGCAGTGAGACTCATGATAGCAGTAGGTGCAGCGCCGGTCAGCTGCTGCAGCTTTGGTGAAGTTTTTAAACATATCAAAATCTAATGTAGATGTTAAATTCAGATTGAAAAATGAAGCTGTTGTGTAATTTTGTAAAGCTGGTTTTTTGAGTTCAAGTTCCATTTTCTGAAACTTGTACAGCTGAAAATGCTTGTAGTTGCAGAGAAACACTGAGGTGGGCAGGTGTACCTAATAAACTGGAAACTCTAAACGTATTAATGTGATTGGAGTTTCTGTGTGTCACCAATATTTAAGGAGCTGGAATATTGTGAAACTGTATACATTGGTAGCCATAGTTACAGCATAAAAGTATCTTATTGATATGATAACGTTGCATTACTGTGTCTGTAGTCTTGTTATATTTATTAATACCACAATATTTTATACACAAATATTCCTATTAAATAAGCAGTAAGTGTAGTTTTATCAAAGGACATTTGGGGGCGAGATGTCTTGTAATTTACTGACTTCCAGGCTAATTTATTAGCTATTTAGTACAGACACTGAGAAACTAGATAAGGAATGTAGTGAGGTGAGTTCTGATGTGCTGATGAGGACAGCTTGATTCATTTATATCCCAGGATATTGATCATGTGTGAAATACTGCATTTATTGACTGTTGATATTTCAGGATACTTAAAGCTCTTCCTGCAGTGTCCTGTTAGAGAATGACTGAATCTTGGGATTTAGTGAGGTAACAGAAGTGATTTGAGCATGATGGGAAATCCTGAAGGAGATGGTGGTCAGAAGTAGAGCTGACATGGACATGAGGTGCAGTAGAGGACAGGAATGGTGGTAGTAGCTGAGTGGAGTTCTGAGCAGTTGTGGTCTGAAATCACAGATACCCATGATTTCAGCACCATATCCATGTTAGTACAGACACACCCAGCACATCCTTTCAGCCTCAGCTTTGACTGTAAGTACACAGTCCTAGAAGAGGACAGTGAAGCTGGAGTGGAATGCAGTGAATCAGGAGGATTTAATGTGATCACCCTTAAATAAAGGTTCTTCAAGTGTGCTCTAGTAAAGGCAGTGTTTATATACAGAACCATGAACACTCAAATGACCATTAGAATGTAGAAATGGTTCTTTATATGGTTTAATAGTTCTTCTCTCTGAAGGGGAACCTGCTGTATTTGGTTCTTTTAGAATCTGTTTAAGGTTTCTGCTTTAAATCTGCTCTTAATATTGATCATCAATCTAATGTTGATTTTCTTTGTTTTGCAGGGCTACACCCCATACACCGTAAGTACATTCTTTTTGTCTTCTATCTGAGAGGGAAATTGTATTGAGAGCACACTAGCGCCTCCTCTGGACACATTAAAGAACATCTCCTAGGGTCCCTACAACCCCTTCTGGTCATATCAGAGGGGGAAAGTAATGAATTACACTCCTTACAGTACTTGAGTGCATTTTTCTCTGTAACGGTACTTTTTTGAGTAGAATTAAATCACAGTACTTTTACTGGAGTTTATTTCTAATAAAGTTCTTTAATTTCACTACTTTAGTTTTAATACCACACTGTGAACACTGAGTGCTGAAGAAGGAGGAGTTCCATGGATCAGAATATGGAAATAATACCTGTTACAGCCTGTAGATACACTGTGTACCTGACTTAGTCTCACAGTGTGTTAGTCATATTTACACAATGAATATAATAAGAGTGAATACAGTTTCTCTACCAGAACTGATTCAGGATCTGCAGAACCGGCACTAGAATGAAGATCAGTTCCACAGAAACGTGATGGGATGCAGTGAAACACGTTTATAAATGAAATAATCCTTAAAGTTAAACTGATTATTTTTATTTAATTAAACCGGAACACAGGAAGTTTAAATGGGTCCTTTTCATGCTTCTTTGTTATTGTTTGTGTTTCCACACCAAAAACCAGTGAACATGTGATTTCAATGAGAGTGAGTGACAGAGAGCTCCCTAGCTTAGCCCAGCACAAGCTAAGCTAGCACAGCTAATTGTTTTTAGCCTTGTTTTAGCTTTAAGCCTGGGCTGGCTGTCTATCTTTTTTTATCATTTTATTTTTCTAATTTAATTTAATATATATATATATATATATATATATATATGCATTTTACTTTATTTTTTACTAGTAATTTTTTGAGTAACTAGTAGTGTTTTGGTAAAATGGGGTGTGAGGAGCTCTGGGAAATGCAGACTCTCAGTAATGGACAGGGATGGTTGGAGGCTGAGATTAAGGCACTGTCGCAATGTCAGACTCAGCTCCACGATCAGAAAACTCATCTTGAGACGGCCACCAGGCCTCCCATGTAACCAGAGCAGACAGTTTACCCAGACCTGTGAAAGGTCATGGGAAACGCGGTGCACCAAGCAACGGGGCAGCTGGAGCCTGAGCAACTTCCACCCCGAGCAGAGGTCACCTGAACCAGGCCAGACCTCTGAAACCTACAGCAGGGACTCTCAGGATAGCCCCGCCCCCTCAGGAAGGTGGAGTCTGGGAACAACACCATAACAGAAGATGGTCTGGATCCTCACCACCACCACCACCTCAGCCTGACCTCACCACCAGCTACAGATTGAAGTGCTGGGCTCTCTCTCCTCACCGGCTCCTCCCTCGACCACTGTCTAAGTAATTGGTTCCTCAGTCGTGTGGAACCTGAACTTGGCTCTAGCTAAATGTAAAACACAAGGATATTAGTGCAGTGATTGTGCACACAGGAGTGAAGGACGAGATCAAAAGAGCCTCGATTTAAAGACCATTTCACACCATTATAGCACTGCATGCAGGAACAAACAGCCAGAGCTGTAGTTTCTGGTCCTCTGCTGACTTTTAGGAGAGGAACATAGACTTTTATCAGACTCTGGGTCCTAAACAAGTGTCTGAAACGGTGGACTGAGGACAGTAACTTGGATTTCATTGATAACTGGAACACACACACCTTTTCATCACTGAGAGGGACTGGACCTGAGTGACCACAGCTCTACCTTTTATTATTGAACCACGAGAAGAATGAAAAAAATAGAAGTAAACAAATTAAACAGCAACTAATCTGGTACTAACGGTTACTTCTCTATTCTCACTACAGTAACCAATCACAGTGCAGTACTACAGGAACTAAAGGAGTAATTAATGGAAGTTAGCTGAAGTCTGTAAACTCACTCATCACACCCTGACAAAGCTGAGTAGAAGGTTTAGAGCGGCTCTGCTGAATGTAAGAGCACTAGCTGACTAATCCAGCACTGTCAGTGATCTTATTAATGAACAGAACTGGATTTTATGATACTGACTGAACCCTGGCTCAGTTCAGACGGTCAGTCTCCCTGATTGAAACTGCTCCACAGAATCCTGATTATATCCACTCTGTACAGGAAGGGAAGAAGGGAGGAGGTCTAGCTGTTGTTTTTAGTATTTTAACCTCAAAAACATTTCATTTTGGACGGTTTCTTCTACTTAAAGGTCAGGAACCAGCCTTGCTGGAGGTTGTTTATCGTCCACCCAAATACTCCCCAGAATTGTCTGAACTGTTGTCCATCTGTGTGACTGACCATGAGAGGATTCTGGTGATTTCACTTTTCATGTTGATGAAGCCTCAGACAACAAGCTACTGAGTTCATGCAGCTATTGACCATATTTGACTTTACTAGTGCATAAATAATCCACACAGATTCATCATCACACTTTCGATTTAGTCGTGTCACCAGGTTTATTGATTAGCATGAATGAAATTTAAATATAATCCTCTCAGATCAGTGCAGTGTGATGTTTAGTGTCTCTGCTTCTGTTGAAATTAAAGACAGAGAAACAAAAATGAAGAAAAACTGTATTTTAACAGTATTTTAACACGTCAACAGCAGCTGGTTTTATAGCTCTACATTACAAATCTCCTCTACATGTTAAATCACCAGTGCAGGATATGCTCAGCAATTTACAGCAATTTGAACTGTAAGCTAAGATCTGTTCTAGATAGTGTTCCACCAGAAAGAACTCAGTAGGAGACCTTAACCACAAAAATGCTGTGTAAAAATGAACAGATAAACCCACTGATTAGTGACTGCACTAAGCAGAACAGAAATCTAATCACTGAAAATCTTAAATTATATGACTATTTCTAACAATGAAGCACAAACAGAGACAGACATACTGTTCAAAACTTACTAGTGAAAGAAAAGATTAATGAGAAGGAGCTTTGAAAAGTTCTTAATTCCTCCTGCTGTGTATTAAATCCTATTACAGCAGGATTTTACTGAAGTACATTGCAGCCTTGTGAGTACTTTAAAGAAGTATTTGGCAGCGTGTGAACATCCCCACAAGAACCTAGCACACCCTGGATCATGTATACAGCAACATCCATAATGCCTTGAGAGCTGCCCTCCAACCCCACTTTGGCCTTTCAGACCTTCTCTCTCTGTTCCTGTACCCAGCCTACAGACCCAGACTAAAGCAGACAAACCCTGTAAATAAACACATCAGACTCTGATCTCCAGACACTGAGAGTGTTATGCAGGACTGGTTATCATACACAGACTGGGATGTGTTTAAAGCTGCAGCCACACAAGAGGATTCTTCTGTAAACATAGAGGAGTATGATGAACGTGTGACTGGTAACATCAGCACCTGCACTGACACTGTAGTGACCACCATACAGGTCAGAAAATACCCAAACCAGGATGAAGAGCCAGGTTAACAGAACCACAGGAAACACCCTCGCTCAGTGGAGTTTAGATCAGGGAGTGAAGTGGAGTACAAAATCTGGGACGGGCCCGCAAGATCTGAGCTACAGACCTGGCTGAGGTTTTCTCCTCCATCTTCAGTCTGTCCCTTGTATAGGTCACAGTCCCAACCTGCTTTAAACCCACCACCACCATCCTGATCCCAGAAAGGAGCCCTGTCACTTATCTGAATGACTACAGGCCAGTCGTACTCACTCCAGTCACTATGAAGAGCTTTGAGAGAGTAATTCTGACCCCCATCAGGAACAGCACACCTGAGTCTCTGAACCCCCTGCAGTGTTTATATAGACTCAGGACATCTGGGATGGGGTCTAGGATTCTCAGTAGGATCTACAGCTTCATCACTGTTTGGTATGGGTAGAGCACCACAATGGACCACAGACGCCTGCAGAGAGTGGTAAGGACTCCTGAGAAGATCATCAGGACATCATTACCAATTGGGCAGAATGTCTGTCACCAGAGAGTCCACAGAAGAACCTGCAGCATCATCAAAGACTCCACCATCCCCATCACAGGTGTTTCACACTGATAGCGTCTAGCAGGAGATACAGAAGTGTGAAATGCAGGACCTCTAAACTGAGGAACAGTGTTTATCCTCACGCCATCAGACTGATTAACAGGCTTTGACTTGACTTTGATTACAATAAAGGAAGGGGACAGAAAGGTCAGTAGGCAGCTGGTATTGAACTGTTCACAGATTTGATTATTAATAAGCCAAATCTTCAGCTGCCCAGTGAAAGAATAGTAAGTGTTGGTTCCTCTAATATGAACTGGTAGTAATTCCCGTTGTTTGGATGGTGTTACAGAGATGACTGACTGACTGTAGCACTTCTTCATATAGGAGTGATACAGTCTCCTCTTGTAGTACCTCTGGTAACCTGAGTGCTGCTCTTTTCATAATCAGTGTCTTAAGTGTGTGGGGGGGGGTGTATTATGAAATATCTTTGATGAAACAAAGGCAGAGACTAACATACTAAACTACATTTTCTCATCTTCATTGTAGATTTGTTAGCCTTTACTTAACTTCTCAGACAAGATGTACAACCCCATATCCACAAAAGTTGGGATGCTGTGCAAAATGTAAATAAAAATAGGATGTAATGATACGCAAATCATGTAAACCATATATTCAAATGAAAATACTACAGAACAACTTATTAAATGTTAAAAATGAGAAATTGTATTGTTTTTTGAAAAATATACGCTCATTTTGAATTTGATGCCAACAACACATTCCAAAAAAGTTGGGACGGGGGCCTGTTTACCACTGTGTTTCATCACCTCTCCTTTTAACAGCACTCTGTAAGTGTTTGGGAAACTGAGGAGTCCAGTTGCTGTAGCTTTGAAAGTGAAATATTTTCCATTCTTGTTTGATACAGGATTTCAGCTGCTCATCAGTTCAGAGTGTCCTTTGTCATATTTTTCATTTGATAATGCGCCAAATGTGTGGATGCAGTGATGAACTGTTTTCACAGACAGTGTTTTTCAGAAGTGTTTCTGAGCCCATGCAGTGATTTCCACTACAGAACCATGTCTGTTTTTAATGCAGTGCTGTCTGAGGGCCCAAAGATCACGGCCAGCAAATACTGTTTTTTGGCCTTGTTCCTTACATACAGAGATTTCTCCAGATTCTCTGAATCTTTTAATGATATTCTGTACCGTAGACGATGAAAAGCAGAAGTTCTTTGCTATTTTATGTTGAGAAACGTTATTCTATTTGATCATGCAGTCTTTCACGGAGTGGTGAACCCCTCCTCATCTTCACTTCTGAGAGACTCCGCCTCTCTGAGATGCTCTTTTATACCCAGTCATGTTACAAACCTGTTGCCAATCAACCACCAGGTGTTTTTTTAGCATTACCTACCAACCTTTTGTTGCCCCTGTGAATTTCTCAGTTCCAACATTTGATTTGTTGTCTTTGTACTATTTTCAATGAAAAATAGGGTTTGAGTGATTTGCACATCATTGCATTTTGTTTTTATTTACATTTTGCACAGCGTCTCAACTTTTTGGAAATGGGGTTGTAAAGTGTGGAATGATCATGGCGTTCATGTGTGTCGTATATTATAAATATATATTATTATAGAGTATATGGGTGATGGGTCATTTTCACCACTGCAGCAAGTCTCACATGGTAGCAGTAGGTCCAGCGCTGGTCAGCCTTGGACAGCTTTAATGACATTTTTAAACATACCACAATCTTAATGTAACAGTCCAGTGTTACTTACCTTTTATTCTCAAAAATACTGAATGTCTTCAACGTCACTAAATGGCCTTACCAGCTCAGTGTTGCTGTAAAGACAAATTCAGACTGAAGCATAAATGTGTGATTTTGTAAAGCTCATTATTTGTATTACAGTCTCTTATACTCTGAATTCATTTTGTTAATGTCCATTTTCTAAAACTTGTACAGCCAAAAAGCTTGTAGTTCTAGGAAAACATGGAGGTGGGCAGGTGTACCTCACCTCTACATGTATTAATGGGAATGACATTTTCTACGTGTCACCAAGGCTCTGTGTGCTGATTGGTGGAAGAATATACTGTGTACAGTGTCTTGTGAAAGCACCCCCCCTCCCCTAATTATGGTTTAAGATCTCTAACCGATAATCAGGAACTCTTTAGTGTCTGTAAGTATTGATGGCCCAAATTAGTACTTTGTACAGCCACCTTTTGCTGCATTGACGGCTGCTGTATTAACTCATCCCATCTAGCCGCTTCAGTGTGGGAATGGTGCTCTCTGGGATGTGGGAAGTGTTGGGTTTGTGCCACACATAATGTTTCTCATGATGACCAAAAGTTCTGGTTTAGTCTCATCTGACCAGAGAACCTTCGTCCATGTGGTTGGAGAGTCTACTGCAAGCTGTTTGGAGAACCGTGTTTTTCTTATTGGAGTGTTCAGCTCAAAGTGGTCCTGTGGACAGATACTCATATCTCTGCTGTGGGTCTTTGCAGCTCCTTCAGTCTTATCTTTGCTGTCTTTGTTCAGAGTCTGATTAATAGCCTCCTGTACTGTGTCTGTAATCCTGTTATAGTAATTAATACCACAACATTTAATGATCAAATATTCCTGTGTAAATTAAACAATTAGAATAGTTACATTAAAGGACCGTTGGGTATAAGATGTCTTGCGATATGCTAACTTACAGGCTAATTTATCAGGTATTTAATAATTTATTAATAATACTAGATATGGAGTATAATAAGGTGTGTCCTGATGAGCGCAACGCGATTCATTTATATCCCAGGATATTGATCATGTGTGAAATACTACATATATTTGAGCATGATGGGAAATCCTGAAGGAGATGGTGGTCAGAAGTAGAGCTGACATGGACATGAGGTGCAGTAGAGGACAGGAATGGTGGTAGTAGCTGAGTGGAGTTCTGAGCAGTTGTTTTCTGAAATCACAGATACCCATGATTTCAGCACCATATCCATGTTAGTACAGACACACCCAGCACATCCTTTCAGCCTCAGCTTTGACTGTAAGTACACAGTCCTAGAAGAGGACAGTGAAGCTGGAGTGGAATGCAGTGAATCAGGAGGATTTAATGTGATCACCCTTAAATAAAGGTTCTTCAAGTGTGCTCTAGTAAAGGCAGTGTTTATATACAGAACCATGAACACTCAAATGACCATTAGAATGTGTAAATGGTTCTTTATATGGTTTAATAGTTCTTTTCTCTGAAGGGGAACCTGTTGTATTTGGTTCTTTTAAGAATCTGTTTAAGGTTTCTGCTTTAAATCTGCTCTAATATTGATCATCAATCTAATGTTGATTTTCTTTGTTTTGCAGGGCTACACCCCATACACCGTAAGTACATTCTTTTTGTCTTCTATCTGAGAGGGGAATTGTATTGAGAGCACACTAGCGCCTCCTCTGGACACATTAAAGAACATCTCCTAGGGTCCCTACAACCCCTTCTGGTCATATCAGAGGGGGAAAGTAATGAATTACACTCCTTACAGTACTTGAGTACGTTTTTCTCTGTAACGGTACTTTTTTGAGTGGAATTAAATCACAGTACTTTTACTTTTACTGGAGTTTAATTCTAAAAAAGTTCTTTCATTTCACTACTTTAGTTTTAGTACCACACTGTAAACACTGAGTGCTGAAGAAGGAGGAGTTCCATGGATCAGAATATGGAAATAATACCTGTTACAGCCTGTAGATACACTGTGTACCTGACTTAGTCTCACAGTGTGTTCGTCATATTTACACAGTGAATATAATAAGAGTGAATACAGTTTCTCTACCAGAACTGATTCAGGATCTGCAGAACCGGCACTAGAATGAAGATCAGTTCCACAGAAACGTGATGGGATGCAGTGAAACACGTTTATAAATGAAATAATCCTAAAGTTAAACTGATTATTTTTATTTAATTAAACAGGAACACAGGAAGTTTAAATGGGTCCTTTTCATGCTTCTTTGTTATTGTTTGTGTTTCCACACCAAAAACCAGTGAACATGTGGTTTCAATGAGAGTGAGTGACAGAGAGCTCCCTAGCTTAGCCCAGCACAAGCTAAGCTAGCACAGCTAATTGTTTTTAGCCTTGTTTTAGCTTTAAGCCTGGGCTGGCTGTCTATCTTTTTTTTATAATTTTATTTTTCTAATTTAATTTAATTTAATTTAATATATATATATATATATATATATTTTGCATTTTACTTTATTTTTACTAGTAATTTTTTGAGTAACTAGTAGTGTTTTGGTAAAATGGGGTGTGAGGAGCTCTGGGAAATGCAGACTCTCAGTAATGGACAGGGATGGTTGGAGGCTGAGATTAAGGCACTGTCGCAATGTCAGACTCAACTCCACGATCAGAAAACTCATCTTGAGACGGCCACCAGGCCTCCCATGTAACCAGAGCAGCCAGTTTACCCAGACCTGTGAAAGGTCATGGGAAACGCGGTGCACCAAGCAACGGGGCAGCTGGAGCCTGAGCAACTTCCACCCCGAGCAGAGGTCACCTGAACCAGGCCAGACCTCTGAAACTTACAGCAGGGACTCTCAGGATAGCCCCGCCCCCTCAGGAAGGTGGAGTCTGGGAACAGCACCTAACAGAAGATGGTCTGGATCCTCACCACCACCACCACCTCAGCCTGACCTCACCACCAGCTACAGATTGAAATGCTGGGCTCTCTCTCCTCACCGGCTCCTCCCTCGACCACTGTCTAAGTAATTGGTTCCTCAGTCGTGTGGAACCTGAACTTGGCTCTAGCTAAATGTAAAACACAAGGATATTAGTGCAGTGATTGTGCACACAGGAGTGAAGGACGAGATCAAAAGAGCCTCGATTTAAAGACCTTTTCACACCATTATAGCACTGCATGCAGGAACAAACAGCCAGAGCTGTAGTTTCTGGTCCTCTGCTGACTTTTAGGAGAGGAACATAGACTTTTATCAGACTCTGGGTCCTAAACAAGTGTCTGAAACGGTGGACTGAGGACAGTAACTTGGATTTCATTGATAACTGGAACACACACACCTTTTCATCACTGAGAGGGACTGGACCTGAGTGACCACAGCTCTACCTTTTATTATTGAACCACGAGAAGAATGAAAAAAATAGAAGTAAACAAATTAAACAGCAACTAATCTGGTACTAACGGTTACTTCTCTATTCTCACTACAGTAACCAATCACAGTGCAGTACTACAGGAACTAAAGGAGTAATTAATGGAAGTTAGCTGAAGTCTGTAAACTCACTCATCACACCCTGACAAAGCTGAGTAGAAGGTTTAGAGCGGCTCTGCTGAATGTAAGAGCACTAGCTGACTAATCCAGCACTGTCAGTGATCTTATTAATGAACAGAACTGGATTTTATGATACTGACTGAACCCTGGCTCAGTTCAGACGGTCAGTCTCCCTGATTGAAACTGCTCCACAGAATCCTGATTATATCCACTCTGTACAGGAAGGGAAGAAGGGAGGAGGTCTAGCTGTTGTTTTTAGTATTTTAACCTCAAAAACGTTTCATTTTGGACGGTTTCTTCTACTTAAAGGTCAGGAACCAGCCTTGCTGGTGGTTGTTTATCGTCCACCCAAATACTCACCAGAATTGTCTGAACTGTTGTCCATCTGTGTGACTGACCATGAGAGGATTCTGGTGATTTCACTTTTCATGTTGATGAAGCCTCAGACAACAAGCTACTGAGTTCATGCAGCTATTGACCATATTTGATTTAACTAGTGCATAAATAATCCACACAGATTCATCATCACACTTTCGATTTAGTCGTGTCACCAGGTTTATTGATTAGCATGAATGAAATTTAAATATAATCCTCTCAGATCAGTGCAGTGTGATGTTTAGTGTCTCTGCTTCTGTTGAAATTAAAGACAGAGAAACAAAAATGAAGAAAAACTGTATTTTAACAGTATTTTAACACGTCAACAGCAGCTGGTTTTATAGCTCTACATTACAAATCTCCTCTACATGTTAAATCACCAGTGCAGGATATGCTCAGCAATTTACAGCAATTTGAACTGTAAGCTAAGATCTGTTCTAGATAGTGTTCCACCAGAAAGAACTCAGTAGGAGACCTTAACCACAAAATTGCTGTGTAAAAATGAACAGATAAACCCACTGATTAGTGACTGCACAAAGCAGAACAGAAACAGAGGAAATCTGGACTAATTATTCACTCTGAAAATCTTAAAAACTGTATTTACATTTATAACAATGCAGCACAAACAGAGACAGACATGCTATTCAAAACTTATCAGTGACGACAGACAGAACCTAAAAGTTGTTTCTTTAGCAAAATAAAACGTCTATTATATCCTACATTAGCCAGTGATTGTATCACTGAGGCTTTGACAGCAAAATGTCAGCAGATATCATGATATCATTATGGCTGTGTTCAATGTGGCTCATTGTACTAGTAAGTTTAGAAGAAGCAGCGTTAAGTTTTATCTAGTAATATCTCAGAAACGTAAAAGTCGTAATAAACAAGCTCTAGATTTGTGTGTTTTGTAGCGTCTTGATCTGAAATCATTTTTCATGTATTTTATGCTGAGTATTTGGGTGATGGGTCATTCTCAGCACAGCAGTGAGACTCATGATAGCAGTAGGTGCAGCGCCGGTCAGCTGCTGCAGCTTTGGTGAAGTTTTTAAACATATCAAAATCTAATGTAGATGTTAAATTTCAGATTGAAAAATGAAGCTGTTGTGTAATTTTGTAAAGCTGGTTTTTTGAGTTCAAGTTCCATTTTCTGAAACTTGTACAGCTGAAAATACTCTAAACGTATTAATGTGATTGGAGTTTCTATGTGTCACCAATATTTAAGGTGCTGGAATATTGTGAAACTATATTCACTGGTAGCCATAGTTACAGCATAAAAGTATTTTATTGATATTTTATGATAACGTTGCATTACTGTGTCTGTAATCTTGTTATATTTATTAATACACAAATATTTCTATTAAATAAGCAGTAAGTGTAGTTTTATCAAAGGACATTTGGGGGCGAGATGTCTTGTAATATACTGACTTCCAGGCTAATTTATAAGCTGTTTAGTACAGACACTGAGAAACTAGATAAGGAATGTAGTGAGGTGAGTCCTGATGTGCTGATGAGGACAGCTTGATTCATTTATATCCCAGGATATTGATCATGTGTGAAATACTGTATATTGACTGTTGATATTTCAGGATATTGATATTTCAGGATATTTACAGCTTTTCCTGCAGGGTCCCGTTAGAGAATGACTGACTGACTGTTCATAGATTACAGCTCAGCATTCAACACAGTCATCCCTGCCAAACTCATTCCTGAGCTCACAGAGTTGGGTTTGAACTCTCATCTCTGCAACTGGATACTAGACTTCTTGACGAGCAGACCCCAGGTGGTGAAAGTTGGGAACAGCTTCTCCTCCACACTGACTCAGAGCACAGGGGTTCCCCAGGGATGTGTGCTCAGCCCCCTCCTGTACCCCCTGTATACACATGACTGTGTAGCCAAACACACGTCTAACATCATCTTCAAGTTTGCTGATGACACCACCATCCTAGGCCTCATCACTGATGGAGATGAAACAGCCCACAGAGACGAGGTCAGCGCTCTGTCAGAGTGGAGCCATGACAGCAATCTCTGTCTCAACATCAGCAAAACAAAGGAGATGATTGTGGACTACAGGAAGCTGCAGAGGGGTGGTCACTCTCCCCTGTTCATCAATGGAGCTGAAGTGGAGAGAGTCAGCAGTGTGAAGTTCCCCGGCGTACACCTCACTGATGACCTCACCTGGTCCCTCCACACCAACACTACTGTGAGATCTGCCCGTCAGCGTCTCTTCTTCCTGCGCAGGCTCAGGAAGTTTGGTCTGCCTCCTCAGATCCTCACCAACTTCTACAGATGCACCATAGAGAGCTTCCTCACAGGCTGCCTCACTGTCTGGTACAGCAGCTGCACTGCCTGTGACCACAAACCCCTTAAAGGAGTGGTGAGTACGGCAGAACCAACCTACCAGCCTTACAGGACGTCTACCAGTCCCACTGCGTCAGGAAGATCAGAAAAATCCGGTCAGACAGCATCACCCAGCACACGGCCTGTTCAAAATCCTGCCATCAGGCAGGAGATTCCACAGCATACAGGCTAAAACAACCTGGCTAATGAACAGTTTCTACCCACAGGCTGTCAGGCTTCTGAACAAGCTGTGAAGCTGTGGGTCCTTCACCAGTTATCATCTCACTCAGTCGCTCTGTCAGCATTATTATTATATCATATCTCTGATATGGACAATAACACCTTAACACTAAGTCACTTAAGTCACTTTAAAATGTATATTGTCTCTTTATCTTGTGTATATTTTCTCTATATTTTGTGTACATTTTGTGTATATTTAATATATTTCAGTGTGTTTCTTATATATTTTACTTATTTCCTTTCTGTACAGTGATTATCTGAGCCTCACCACAAGCATTTCAATGCATAAATGTCCTGACATGTTGTACAAATGACAAATAAACTTGAAACTTGAACTTGAAACTTGGGATTTACTGAGGTAACAGAAGTGATTTGAGCATGATGGGAAATCCTGAAGGAGGTGGTGGTCAGAAGTAGAGCTGACATGGACATGAGGTGCAGTAGAGGACAGGAATGGTGGTAGTAGCTGAGTGGAGTTCTGAGCAGTTGTGGTCTGAAATCACAGATACCCATGATTTCAGCACCATATCCATGTTAGTACAGACACACCCAGCACATCCTTTCAGCCTCAGCTTTGACTGTAAGTACACAGTCCTAGAAGAGGACAGTGAAGCTGGAGTGGAATGCAGTGAATCAGGAGGATTTAATGTGATCACCCTTAAATAAAGGTTCTTCAAGTGTGCTCTAGTAAAGGCAGTGTTTATATACAGAACCATGAACACTCAAATGACCGTTAGAATGTAGAAATGGTTCTTTATATGGTTTAATAGTTCTTCTCTCTGAAGGGGAACCTGTTGTATTTGGTTCTTTTAAGAATCTGTTTAAGGTTTCTGCTTTAATTCTGCTCTAATATTGATCATCAATCTAATCTTGTACAGAAACATTAGAAGAATTGTACCGCAGTAAGTACATCTCTTTCTCTTCTATCTCAGAGGGAAATTATATACAGAGCACACTAGCGCCTCCTCTGGACACATTAAAGAACCTCTCCTAGGGTCACTACAACCCCTTCTGGTCATATCAGAGGTGGAAAGTAATGAATTACACTCCTTACAGTACTTGAGTACATTTTTCTCTGTAACGGTACTTTTTGAGTAGAATTAAATCACAGTACTTTTACTGGAGTTTATTTCTAATAAAGTTCTTTCATTTCACTACTTTAGTTTTAGTAACTGTAGCAGAGGAAACAATGAATGGATTCAGCTCTGAAAGCCAATCAGGTCACAGCAGCGTCCTGCTCCACTAATGACTCAGATTCTGATTAGAGGCCAAACAAATATAGACTAGACTGAACAATAAGGAGCTTTCAGTGTTTCCAAACCCTTTACAACAGGATAAATAAAGATGAATAAAATAGTCACCTGTTCATGAAACACATCAGCCGTGTCTTTCATTCTGTAGCAGTGTTTACAGTGTAAACCTGCACTTTATAAGTGATTTAGTTGAACCCATTACCACACTGTGAACACTGAGTGCTGAAGAAGGAGGAGTTCCATGGATCAGAATATGGAAATAATACCTGTTACAGCCTGTAGATACACTGTGTACCTGACTTAGTCTCACAGTGTGTTCGTCATATTTACACAGTGAATATAATAAGAGTGAGTACAGTTTCTCTACCAGAACTGATTCAGGATCTGCAGAACCGGCACTAGAATGAAGATCAGCTACACAGAAACGTGATGGGATGCAGTGAAACACGTTTATAAATGAAATAATCCTTAAAGTTAAACTGATTATTTTTATTTAATTAAACTAAATTAAAGTTTAAATGGGTCCTTTTCATGCTTCTTTGTTATTGTTTGTGTTTCCACACCAAAAACCAGTGAACATGTGGTTTCAATGAGAGTGAGTGACAGAGAGCTCCCTAGCTTAGCCCAGCACAAGCTAAGCTAGCACAGCTAATTGTTTTTAGCCTTGTTTTAGCTTTTAGCGTTAGCTTCTAGTCTTTTTTTAATATAATTTTATTTTTATAATTTTGTTTAATATTTTTTGTTTGTTTTAATCTTTTTCCTTTATCCTTTACTATTTGAGTAACTAGTAGTGTTTTGGTAAAATGGGGTGTGAGGAGCTCTGGGAAATGCAGACTCTCAGTAATGGACAGGGATGGTTGGAGGCTGAGATTAAGGCACTGTCTCAATGTCAGACTCGACTCCACGATCAGAAAACTCATCTTGAGACGGCCACCAGGCCTCCCATGTAACCAGAGCAGACAGTTTACCCAGACCTGTGAAAGGTCATGGGAAACGCGGTGCACCAAGCAACGGGGCAGCTGGAGCCTGAGCAACTTCCACCCCGAGCAGAGGTCACCTGAACCAGGCCAGACCTCTGAAACCTACAGCAGGGACTCTCAGGATAGCCCCGCCCCCTCAGGAAGGTGGAGTCTGGGAACAACACCATAACAGAAGATGGTCTGGATCCTCACCACCACCACCACCTCAGCCTGACCTCACCACCAGCTACAGATTGAAGTGCTGGGCTCTCTCTCCTCTCCGGCTCCTCCCTCGACCACTGTCTAAGTAATTGGTTCCTCAGTCGTGTGGAACCTGAACTTGGCTCTAGCTAAATGTAAAACACAAGGATATTAGTGCAGTGATTGTGCACACAGGAGTGAAGGACGAGATCAAAAGAGCCTCGATTTAAAGACCATTTCACACCATTATAGCACTGCATGCAGGAACAAACAGCCAGAGCTGTAGTTTCTGGTCCTCTGCTGACTTTTAGGAGAGGAACATAGACTTTTATCAGACTCTGGGTCCTAAACAAGTGTCTGAAACGGTGGACTGAGGACAGTAACTTGGATTTCATTGATAACTGGAACACACACACCTTTTCATCACTGAGAGGGACTGGACCTGAGTGACCACAGCTCTACCTTTTATTATTGAACCACGAGAAGAATGAAAAAAATAGAAGTAAACAAATTAAACAGCAACTAATCTGGTACTAACGGTTACTTCTCTATTCTCACTACAGTAACCAATCACAGTGCAGTACTACAGGAACTAAAGGAGTAATTAATGGAAGTTAGCTGAAGTCTGTAAACTCACTCATCACACCCTGACAAAGCTGAGTAGAAGGTTTAGAGCGGCTCTGCTGAATGTAAGAGCACTAGCTGACTAATCCAGCACTGTCAGTGATCTTATTAATGAACAGAACTGGATTTTATGATACTGACTGAACCCTGGCTCAGTTCAGACGGTCAGTCTCCCTGATTGAAACTGCTCCACAGAATCCTGATTATATCCACTCTGTACAGGAAGGGAAGAAGGGAGGAGGTCTAGCTGTTGTTTTTAGTATTTTAACCTCAAAAACATTTCATTTTGGACGGTTTCTTCTACTTAAAGGTCAGGAACCAGCCTTGCTGGAGGTTGTTTATCGTCCACCCAAATACTCCCCAGAATTGTCTGAACTGTTGTCCATCTGTGTGACTGACCATGAGAGGATTCTGGTGATTTCACTTTTCATGTTGATGAAGCCTCAGACAACAAGCTACTGAGTTCATGCAGCTATTGACCATATTTGACTTTACTAGTGCATAAATAATCCACACAGATTCATCATCACACTTTCGATTTAGTCGTGTCACCAGGTTTATTGATTAGCATGAATGAAATTTAAATATAATCCTCTCAGATCAGTGCAGTGTGATGTTTAGTGTCTCTGCTTCTGTTGAAATTAAAGACAGAGAAACAAAAATGAAGAAAAACTGTATTTTAACAGTATTTTAACACGTCAACAGCAGCTGGTTTTATAGCTCTACATTACAAATCTCCTCTACATGTTAAATCACCAGTGCAGGATATGCTCAGCAATTTACAGCAATTTGAACTGTAAGCTAAGATCTGTTCTAGATAGTGTTCCACCAGAAAGAACTCAGTAGGAGACCTTAACCACAAAAATGCTGTGTAAAAATGAACAGATAAACCCACTGATTAGTGACTGCACTAAGCAGAACAGAAATCTAATCACTGAAAATCTTAAATTATATGACTATTTCTAACAATGAAGCACAAACAGAGACAGACATACTGTTCAAAACTTACTAGTGAAAGAAAAGATTAATGAGAAGGAGCTTTGAAAAGTTCTTAATTCCTCCTGCTGTGTATTAAATCCTATTACAGCAGGATTTTACTGAAGTACATTGCAGCCTTGTGAGTACTTTAAAGAAGTATTTGGCAGCGTGTGAACATCCCCACAAGAACCTAGCACACCCTGGATCATGTATACAGCAACATCCATAATGCCTTGAGAGCTGCCCTCCAACCCCACTTTGGCCTTTCAGACCTTATCACTCTGTTCCTGTACCCAGCCTACAGACCCAGACTAAAGCAGACAAACCCTGTAAATAAACACATCAGACTCTGATCTCCAGACACTGGGAGTGTTATGCAGGACTGGTTATCATACACAGACTGGGATGTGTTTAAAGCTGCAGCCACACAAGAGGATTCTTCTGTAAACATAGAGGAGTATGATGAACGTGTGACTGGTAACATCAGCACCTGCACTGACACTGTAGTGACCACCATACAGGTCAGAAAATACCCAAACCAGGATGAAGAGCCAGGTTAACAGAACCACAGGAAACACCCTCGCTCAGTGGAGTTTAGATCAGGGAGTGAAGTGGAGTACAAAATCTGGGACGGGCCCGCAAGATCTGAGCTACAGACCTGGCTGAGGTTTTCTCCTCCATCTTCAGTCTGTCCCTTGTATAGGTCACAGTCCCAACCTGCTTTAAACCCACCACCACCATCCTGATCCCAGAAAGGAGCCCTGTCACTTATCTGAATGACTACAGGCCAGTCGTACTCACTCCAGTCACTATGAAGAGCTTTGAGAGAGTAATTCTGACCCCCATCAGGAACAGCACACCTGAGTCTCTGAACCCCCTGCAGTGTTTATATAGACTCAGGACATCTGGGATGGGGTCTAGGATTCTCAGTAGGATCTACAGCTTCATCACTGTTTGGTATGGGTAGAGCACCACAATGGACCACAGACGCCTGCAGAGAGTGGTAAGGACTCCTGAGAAGATCATCAGGACATCATTACCAATTGGGCAGAATGTCTGTCACCAGAGAGTCCACAGAAGAACCTGCAGCATCATCAAAGACTCCACCATCCCCATCACAGGTGTTTCACACTGATAGCGTCTAGCAGGAGATACAGAAGTGTGAAATGCAGGACCTCTAAACTGAGGAACAGTGTTTATCCTCACGCCATCAGACTGATTAACAGGCTTTGACTTGACTTTGATTACAATAAAGGAAGGGGACAGAAAGGTCAGTAGGCAGCTGGTATTGAACTGTTCACAGATTTGATTATTAATAAGCCAAATCTTCAGCTGCCCAGTGAAAGAATAGTAAGTGTTGGTTCCTCTAATATGAACTGGTAGTAATTCCCGTTGTTTGGATGGTGTTACAGAGATGACTGACTGACTGTAGCACTTCTTCATATAGGAGTGATACAGTCTCCTCTTGTAGTACCTCTGGTAACCTGAGTGCTGCTCTTTTCATAATCAGTGTCTTAAGTGTGTGGGGGGGGGGTGTATTATGAAATATCTTTGATGAAACAAAGGCAGAGACTAACATACTAAACTACATTTTCTCATCTTCATTGTAGATTTGTTAGCCTTTACTTAACTTCTCAGACAAGATGTACAACCCCATATCCACAAAAGTTGGGATGCTGTGCAAAATGTAAATAAAAATAGGATGTAATGATACGCAAATCATGTAAACCATATATTCAAATGAAAATACTACAGAACAACTTATTAAATGTTAAAAATGAGAAATTGTATTGTTTTTTGAAAAATATACGCTCATTTTGAATTTGATGCCAACAACACATTCCAAAAAAGTTGGGACGGGGGCCTGTTTACCACTGTGTTTCATCACCTCTCCTTTTAACAGCACTCTGTAAGTGTTTGGAAACTGAGGAGTCCAGTTGCTGTAGCTTTGAAAGTGAAATATTTTCCATTCTTGTTTGATACAGGATTTCAGCTGCTCATCAGTTCAGAGTGTCCTTTGTCATATTTTTCATTTGATAATGCGCCAAATGTGTGGATGCAGTGATGAACTGTTTTCACAGACAGTGTTTTTCAGAAGTGTTTCTGAGCCCATGCAGTGATTTCCACTACAGAACCATGTCTGTTTTTAATGCAGTGCTGTCTGAGGGCCCAAAGATCACGGCCAGCAAATACTGTTTTTTGGCCTTGTTCCTTACATACAGAGATTTCTCCAGATTCTCTGAATCTTTTAATGATATTCTGTACCGTAGACGATGAAAAGCAGAAGTTCTTTGCTATTTTATGTTGAGAAACGTTATTCTTTTTTTTTTTATTTGATCATGCAGTCTTTCACGGAGTGGTGAACCCCTCCTCATCTTCACTTCTGAGAGACTCCGCCTCTCTGAGATGCTCTTTTATACCCAGTCATGTTACAAACCTGTTGCCAATCAACCACCAGGTGTTTTTTAGCATTACCTTACCAACCTTTTGTTGCCCCTGTGAATTTCTCAGTTCCAACATTTGATTTGTTGTCTTTGTACTATTTTCAATGAAAAATAGGGTTTGAGTGATTTGCACATCATTGCATTTTGTTTTTATTTACATTTTGCACAGCGTCTCAACTTTTTTGGAAATGGGGTTGTAAAGTGTGGAATGATCATGGCGTTCATGTGTGTCGTATATTATAAATATATATTATTATAGAGTATATGGGTGATGGGTCATTTTCACCACTGCAGCAAGTCTCACATGGTAGCAGTAGGTCCAGCGCTGGTCAGCCTTGGACAGCTTTAATGACATTTTTAAACATACCACAATCTTAATGTAACAGTCCAGTGTTACTTACCTTTTATTCTCAAAAATACTGAATGTCTTCAACGTCACTAAATGGCCTTACCAGCTCAGTGTTGCTGTAAAGACAAATTCAGACTGAAGCATAAATGTGTGATTTTGTAAAGCTCATTATTTGTATTACAGTCTCTTATACTCTGAATTCATTTTGTTAATGTCCATTTTCTAAAACTTGTACAGCCAAAAAGCTTGTAGTTCTAGGAAAACATGGAGGTGGGCAGGTGTACCTCACCTCTACATGTATTAATGGGAATGACATTTTCTACGTGTCACCAAGGCTCTGTGTGCTGATTGGTGGAAGAATATACTGTGTACAGTGTCTTGTGAAAGCACCCCCCCTCCCCTTAATTATGGTTTAAGATCTCTTAACCGATAATCAGGAACTCTTTAGTGTCTGTAAGTATTGATGGCCCAAATTAGTACTTTGTACAGCCACCTTTTGCTGCATTGACGGCTGCTGTATTAACTCATCCCATCTAGCCGCTTCAGTGTGGGAATGGTGCTCTCTGGGATGTGGGAAGTGTTGGGTTTGTGCCACACATAATGTTTCTCATGATGACCAAAAGTTCTGGTTTAGTCTCATCTGACCAGAGAACCTTCGTCCATGTGGTTGGAGAGTCTACTGCAAGCTGTTTGGAGAACCGTGTTTTCTTATTGGAGTGTTCAGCTCAAAGTGGTCCTGTGGACAGATACTCATATCTCTGCTGTGGGTCTTTGCAGCTCCTTCAGTCTTATCTTTGCTGTCTTTGTTCAGAGTCTGATTAATAGCCTCCTGTACTGTGTCTGTAATCCTGTTATAGTAATTAATACCACAACATTTAATGATCAAATATTCCTGTGTAAATTAAACAATTAGAATAGTTACATTAAAGGACCGTTGGGTATAAGATGTCTTGCGATATGCTAACTTACAGGCTAATTTATCAGGTATTTAATAATTTATTAATAATACTAGATATGGAGTATAATAAGGTGTGTCCTGATGAGCGCAACGCGATTCATTTATATCCCAGGATATTGATCATGTGTGAAATACTACATATATTTGAGCATGATGGGAAATCCTGAAGGAGATGGTGGTCAGAAGTAGAGCTGACATGGACATGAGGTGCAGTAGAGGACAGGAATGGTGGTAGTAGCTGAGTGGAGTTCTGAGCAGTTGTGGTCTGAAATCACAGATACCCATGATTTCAGCACCATATCCATGTTAGTACAGACACACCCAGCACATCCTTTCAGCCTCAGCTTTGACTGTAAGTACACAGTCCTAGAAGAGGACAGTGAAGCTGGAGTGGAATGCAGTGAATCAGGAGGATTTAATGTGATCACCCTTAAATAAAGGTTCTTCAAGTGTGCTCTAGTAAAGGCAGTGTTTATATACAGAACCATGAACACTCAAATGACCATTAGAATGTGTAAATGGTTCTTTATATGGTTTAATAGTTCTTTTCTCTGAAGGGGAACCTGTTGTATTTGGTTCTTTTAAGAATCTGTTTAAGGTTTCTGCTTTAATTCTGTTCTAATATTGATCATCAATCTAATGTTGATTTTCTTTGTTTTGCAGGGCTACACCCCATACACCGTAAGTACATTCTTTTTGTCTTCTATCTCAGAGGGAAATTGTATTGAGAGCACACTAGCGCCTCCTCTGGACAAATTAAAGAACCTCTCCCAGGGTCACTACAACCCCTTCTGGTCATATCAGAGGGGGAAAGTAATGAATTACACTCCTTACAGTACTTGAGTACGTTTTTCTCTGTAACGGTACTTTTTTGAGTGGAATTAAATCACAGTACTTTTCTTTTACTGGAGTTTATTTCTAATAAAGTTCTTTCATTTCACTACTTTAGTTTTAGTACCACACTGTAAACACTGAGTGCTGAAGAAGGAGGAGTTCCATGGATCAGAATATGGAAATAATACCTGTTACAGCCTGTAGATACACTGTGTACCTGACTTAGTCTCACAATATGTTTGTTATATTTACACAGTGAATATAATAAGAGTGAATACAGTTTCTCTACCAGAACTGATTCAGGATCTGCAGAACCGGCACTAGAATGAAGATCAGTTCCACAGAAACGTGATGGGATGCAGTGAAACACGTTTATAAATGAATAATCCTAAAGTTAAACTGATTATTTTTATTTAATTAAACAGGAACACAGGAAGTTTAAATGGGTCCTTTTCATGCTTCTTTGTTATTGTTTGTGTTTCCACACCAAAAACCAGTGAACATGTGATTTTCATGAGAGTGAGTGACAGAGAGCTCCCTGACTTAGCCCCACACAAGCTAATCTCTCACAGCTAGCTGTTTTTAGCCTTGTTTTAGCTTTTAGCCTGGGCTGGCTGTCTATCTTTTTTTATCATTTTATTTTTCTAATTTAATTTAATATATATATATATATATATATATATAGCATTTTACTTTATTTTTTACTAGTAATTTTTTGAGTAACTAGTAGTGTTTTGGTAAAATGGGGTGTGAGGAGCTCTGGGAAATGCAGACTCTCAGTAATGGACAGGGATGGTTGGAGGCTGAGATTAAGGCACTGTCGCAATGTCAGACTCAACTCCACGATCAGAAAACTCATCTTGAGACGGCCACCAGGCCTCCCATGTAACCAGAGCAGACAGTTTACCCAGACCTGTGAAAGGTCATGGGAAACGCGGTGCACCAAGCAACGGGGCAGCTGGAGCCTGAGCAACTTCCACCCCGAGCAGAGGTCACCTGAACCAGGCCAGACCTCTGAAACCTACAGCAGGGACTCTCAGGATAGCCCCGCCCCCTCAGGAAGGTGGAGTCTGGGAACAACACCATAACAGAAGATGGTCTGGATCCTCACCACCACCACCACCTCAGCCTGACCTCACCACCAGCTACAGATTGAAGTGCTGGGCTCTCTCTCCTCACCGGCTCCTCCCTCGACCACTGTCTAAGTAATTGGTTCCTCAGTCGTGTGGAACCTGAACTTGGCTCTAGCTAAATGTAAAACACAAGGATATTAGTGCAGTGATTGTGCACACAGGAGTGAAGGACGAGATCAAAAGAGCCTCGATTTAAAGACCTTTTCACACCATTATAGCACTGCATGCAGGAACAAACAGCCAGAGCTGTAGTTTCTGGTCCTCTGCTGACTTTTAGGAGAGGAACATAGACTTTTATCAGACTCTGGGTCCTAAACAAGTGTCTGAAACGGTGGACTGAGGACAGTAACTTGGATTTCATTGATAACTGGAACACACACACCTTTTCATCACTGAGAGGGACTGGACCTGAGTGACCACAGCTCTACCTTTTATTATTGAACCACGAGAAGAATGAAAAAATACAGAAGTAAATAAATTAAACAGCAACTAATCTGGTACTAACGGTTACTTCTCTATTCTCACTACAGTAACCAATCACAGTGCAGTACTACAGGAACTAAAGGAGTAATTAATGGAAGTTAGCTGAAGTCTGTAAACTCACTCATCACACCCTGACAAAGCTGAGTAGAAGGTTTAGAGCGGCTCTGCTGAATGTAAGAGCACTAGCTGACTAATCCAGCACTGTCAGTGATCTTATTAATGAACAGAACTGGATTTTATGATACTGACTGAACCCTGGCTCAGTTCAGACGGTCAGTCTCCCTGATTGAAACTGCTCCACAGAATCCTGATTATATCCACTCTGTACAGGAAGGGAAGAAGGGAGGAGGTCTAGCTGTTGTTTTTAGTATTTTAACCTCAAAAACATTTCATTTTGGACGGTTTCTTCTACTTAAAGGTCAGGAACCAGCCTTGCTGGAGGTTGTTTATCGTCCACCCAAATACTCCCCAGAATTGTCTGAACTGTTGTCCATCTGTGTGACTGACCATGAGAGGATTCTGGTGATTTCACTTTTCATGTTGATGAAGCCTCAGACAACAAGCTACTGAGTTCATGCAGCTATTGACCATATTTGACTTTACTAGTGCATAAATAATCCACACAGATTCATCATCACACTTTCGATTTAGTCGTGTCACCAGGTTTATTGATTAGCATGAATGAAATTTAAATATAATCCTCTCAGATCAGTGCAGTGTGATGTTTAGTGTCTCTGCTTCTGTTGAAATTAAAGACAGAGAAACAAAAATGAAGAAAAACTGTATTTTAACAGTATTTTAACACGTCAACAGCAGCTGGTTTTATAGCTCTACATTACAAATCTCCTCTACATGTTAAATCACCAGTGCAGGATATGCTCAGCAATTTACAGCAATTTGAACTGTAAGCTAAGATCTGTTCTAGATAGTGTTCCACCAGAAAATACGAAGAGAAGACCTTAAGAAGAAAACAGATAAACCCAGTGATCAGGGACTGCCTGCCACACAGCAGAACGGAAAATCTGAACTATCTACTGTGAAATTCCATATTAACATTTATAACAATGCAGCACAAACAGAGACAGACATACTATTGGAAACTTAATAGTGACAGCGGACAGAAGCCAAGAGTTTCATTCTGAATCAAATAAATCGTCTGTTAAATCCTACATTAACCAGTGATTATCTCACTGAGGCTTTGACATCAAGGAGCTCTGGTACCACGTACACTTATGTACATCCTTGTGTTCGGGCACACCGTTCTTCCCAATCACCCCCGTCCAGGTCTCCCAGTCACTGCCAACATGAGTATTGACTATGGAGTCTGTAGGTGAGGCCCTTTCCAGAACCCCGCCCCCTTATTTCAAGAAGGCTGAGTTTTCCTACCTGTGGTTTTTATTCACGTTGGGGTGACCCTCTCGTCCACCGGGACAAACTCCAACTGCACGCAGCCAGCCGGGGGCTCGTGAGTTTCCCCAAACCTGCCCGGCGGCTCTCACCCTGTGCAGCTTCTGAGTAGGAGAGGGACCAACCCCTATCGTGGAGCTTGGTTCTAGAGCTGACACTGTGGGTGGAGGTAAGCCCCACTGTAACTAGTTGGTACCTCTCAACCTCCCGCAGAAGCTCCGGCTCCTTCCCCCCAAGTGAGATGACTTTCCACGTACCAAGAGCCAGTTTCCATCACAGGGGTCCATGCAGCCAAGGACCTCCCTGCCATCTCCCACTGCTTATACGGCACTGCACCTGTCCCCCATGCTGAACCTTGTAGGTAGAGGGCCCACACAGTCCCCCCCAAATTGCCTTTTCGGGCTGATCCCGTCTGGCCACAAGGCGCTCGCCGAGGAACACTACCCCCAGGCCTGGCTCCAGGGGTGGGTTGGGGTAACCCTCTCCCGGGCAGGGTCTCTTGTGTCCCTTAGTCATGGAAGATTTTGGATCGCATTATTCTGGGTCTTCAATCCAGACCTGTTCACCCTGGGAGACCCTACTAGGAGCATTTTCTAAAACCTGTACAGCCAAAATGCTTGTAGTTGCAGGAAAACAGGAAGGTAGTCAGGTGTACCTAAACAGGTAGAGACACAAGCAGGTAAGAGAAGATCCATAAGCAGGGGTCATGGCATGAACGGGCCAGTGTTCTCCCGTACCACTGGGCAGAGCCTTGAGGGCAGACATTGACGGGCCAGTGCTGTCCATAATTTGTTTTCACAGCCTGTGTTCTGGGACATAGAAGCTCGGAATTTAGGAAATGACATACATTTGAATGAACACTGTCAAAATAAAGTACAGGCATCAGCAGCAGCAGCAGTACAGACGTGACAGTGTATTTGTAGCAGTAGCTACAGCGTAAACGTATTTTATTTGTTATTTTATGATAGCACTGCATCACTGTGTCTGTACTGCTGTTAATAATTAGTGCCACAACATTTTATGCACAAATATTCCTATAAAATAAACCTTTTTACAAATGTAGTTATATCAAAGGGCATTTGGGTCCGAGATGTCTTGTAATATGCTAACTTACCGTCTAATGTAAGAACTATTTAGTACAGACACTGAGACACTAGATAAGGAATGTAGTGAGGTGAGTTCTGATGTGCTGATGAGGACAGCGTGATTCATTTATATCCCAGGATATTGATCATGTGTGAAATACTGCATATATTGACTGTTGATATTTCAGGATATTGACGATGTATAACATATTTCATATCCTGACCCATTATATGTCAGGATGTTAGTGGTGGTTGGACAGTATAGTAAGGAAATTCCCAGGATGTGGTCCATATTCTGAGAATATCAGTCCTTGGTGGAGAGTTCAGATATTTCCTCACAGCTCTTCCTGCAGTGTCCCGTTAGAGAATGAGTGAAACTTGGGATTTAGTGAGGTAACAGAAGTGATTTGAGCATGATGGGAAATCCTAAAGGAGATGGTGGTCAGAAGTAGAGCTGACATGGACATGAGGTGCAGTAGAGGACAGGAATGGTGGTAGTAGCTGAGTGGAGTTCTGAGCAGTTGTGGTCTGAACTCACAGATACCCATGATTTCAGCACCATATCCATGTTAGTACAGACACACCCAGCACATCCTTTCAGCCTCAGCTTTGACTGTAAGTACACAGTCCTAGAAGAGGACAGTGAAGCTGGAGTGGAATGCAGTGAATCAGGAGGATTTAATGTGATCACCCTTAAATAAAGGTTCTTCAAGTGTGCTCTAGTAAAGGCAGTGTTTATATACAGAACCATGAACACTCAAATGACCATTAGAATGTAGAAATGGTTCTTTATATGGTTTAATAGTTCTTCTCTCTGATGGAGAACCTGTTGTATTTGGTTCTTTTAAGAATCTGTTTAAGGTTTCTGCTTTAATTCTGCTCTAATATTGATCATCAATCTAATGTTAATTTTCTTCATTTTGCAGACTTTTTTAAAGATGACTGGGAGGGTAAGTTCTTTCTTTTTGTCTTCTGTCTCAGAGGGAAATAACACTACAACCCCTTCTGGTCATATCAGAGGGGGAAAGTAATGAATTACATTCCTTACAGTACTTGAGTACATTTTTCTCTGTAACGGTACTTTTTTGAGTAGAATTAAATCACAGTACTTTTACTTTTACTGGAGTTTATTTCTAATAAAGTTCTTTCATTTCACTGCAATAGTTTTAGTAACTGTAGCAGAGAAAAAATGAAAGGATTCAGTTCTGAAAGCCAATCAGGTCACAGCAGCGTCCTGCTCCACTAATGACTCAGATTCTGATTAGAGGCCAAACAAATACAGACTAGACTGAACAATAAGGAGCTTTCAGTGTTTCCAAACCTTTTACAACAGGATAAATAAAGATTTATAAAATAGTCACCTGTTCATGAAACACGTCAGCCGTGTCTTTCATTCTGTAGCAGTGTTTAAAGTGTAAACCTGCACTTTATAAGTGATTTAGTTTAACCCATTACCACACTGTGAACACTGAGTGCTGAAGAAGGAGGAGTTCCATGGATCAGAATATGGAAATAATACCTGTTACAGCCTGTAGATACACTGTGTACCTGACTTAGTCTCACAGTGTGTTCGTCATATTTACACAGTGAATATAATAAGAGTGAATACAGTTTCTCTACCAGAACTGATTCAGGATCTGCAGAACCGGCACTAGAATGAAGATCAGTTCCACAGAAACGTGATGGGATGCAGTGAAACACGTTTATAAATGAAATAATCCTTAAAGTTAAACTGATTATTTTTATTTAATTAAACAGGAACACAGGAAGTTTAAATGGGTCCTTTTCATGCTTCTTTGTTATTGTTTGTGTTTCCACACCAAAAACCAGTGAACATGTGATTTCAATGAGAGTGAGTGACAGAGAGCTCCCTAGCTTAGCCCAACACAAGCTAAGCTAGCACAGCTAATTGTTTTTAGCCTTGTTTTAGCTTTAAGCCTGGGCTGGCTGTCTATCTTTTTTTATCATTTTATTTTTCTAATTTAATTTAATATATATATATATATATATATATATATATATATGCATTTACTTTATTTTTTACTAGTAATTTTTTGAGTAACTAGTAGTGTTTTGGTAAAATGGGGTGTGAGGAGCTCTGGGAAATGCAGACTCTCAGTAATGGACAGGGATGGTTGGAGGCTGAGATTAAGGCACTGTCGCAATGTCAGACTCAGCTCCACGATCAGAAAACTCATCTTGAGACGGCCACCAGGCCTCCCATGTAACCAGAGCAGACAGTTTACCCAGACCTGTGAAAGGTCATGGGAAACGCGGTGCACCAAGCAATGGGGCAGCTGGAGCCTGAGCAACTTCCACCCCGAGCAGAGGTCACCTGAACCAGGCCAGACCTCTGAAACCTACAGCAGGGACTCTCAGGATAACCCCGCCCCCTCAGGAAGGTGGAGTCTGGGAACAACACCATAACAGAAGATGGTCTGGATCCTCACCACCACCACCACCTCAGCCTGACCTCACCACCAGCTACAGATTGAAGTGCTGGGCTCTCTCTCCTCACCGGCTCCTCACTCGACCACTGTCTAAGTAAATGGTTCCTCAGTCGTGTGGAACCTGAACTTGGCTCTAGCTAAATGTAAAACACAAGGATATTAGTGCAGTGATTGTGCACACAGGAGTGAAGGACGAGATCAAAAGAGCCTCGATTTAAAGACCATTTCACACCATTATAGCACTGCATGCAGGAACAAACAGCCAGAGCTGTAGTTTCTGGTCCTCTGCTGACTTTTAGGAGAGGAACATAGACTTTTATCAGACTCTGGGTCCTAAACAAGTGTCTGAAATGGTGGACTGAGGACACCTTTTCATCACTGAGAGGGACTGGACCTGAGTGACCACAGCTCTACCTTTTATTATTGAACCACGAGAAGAATGAAAAAAATAGAAGTAAACAAATTAAACAGCAACTAATCTGGTACTAACGGTTACTTCTCTATTCTCACTACAGTAACCAATCACAGTGCAGTACTACAGGAACTAAAGGAGTAATTAATGGAAGTTAGCTGAAGTCTGTAAACTCACTCATCACACCCTGACAAAGCTGAGTAGAAGGTTTAGAGCGGCTCTGCTGAATGTAAGAGCACTAGCTGACTAATCCAGCACTGTCAGTGATCTTATTAATGAACAGAACTGGATTTTATGATACTGACTGAACCCTGGCTCAGTTCAGACGGTCAGTCTCCCTGATTGAAACTGCTCCACAGAATCCTGATTATATCCACTCTGTACAGGAAGGGAAGAAGGGAGGAGGTCTAGCTGTTGTTTTTAGTATTTTAACCTCAAAAACATTTCATTTTGGACGGTTTCTTCTACTTAAAGGTCAGGAACCAGCCTTGCGGGAGGTTGTTTATCGTCCACCCAAATACTCCCCAGAATTGTCTGAACTGTTGTCCATCTGTGTGACTGACCATGAGAGGATTCTGGTGATTTCACTTTTCATGTTGATGAAGCCTCAGACAACAAGCTACTGAGTTCATGCAGCTATTGACCATATTTGACTTTACTAGTGCATAAATAATCCACACAGATTCATCATCACACTTTCGATTTAGTCGTGTCACCAGGTTTATTGATTAGCATGAATGAAATTTAAATATAATCCTCTCAGATCAGTGCAGTGTGATGTTTAGTGTCTCTGCTTCTGTTGAAATTAAAGACAGAGAAACAAAAATGAAGAAAAACTGTATTTTAACAGTATTTTAACACGTCAACAGCAGCTGGTTTTATAGCTCTACATTACAAATCTCCTCTACATGTTAAATCACCAGTGCAGGATATGCTCAGCAATTTACAGCAATTTGAACTGTAAGCTAAGATCTGTTCTAGATAGTGTTCCACCAGAAAGAACTCAATAGGAGACCTTAACCACAAAATTGCTGTGTAAAAATGAACAGATAAACCCACTGATTAGTGACTGCACTAAGCAGAACAGAAATGGAAGTGAAACTAATTATTCACTATGAAAATCTTAAAAACTGTATTTACATTTATAACAATGCAGCACAAACAGAGACAGACATGCTATTCAAAACTTATTAGTGACGACGGACACAAGCCAAGAGTTCCATTTTGAATAAAATAAATCGTCTATTAAATCCCACATTAACAGTGATTATATTACTGAGGCTTTGACAGCAAAATATAATGTTCTTTCATTAATTTTTAATACAAAAATGATTCGTATTTGGTCACATTTTTTCACTCCAAATGTACAAACAGTAGACTGTATTTTTATTCAACATCAAAACACTTTGAACTGTCTTAGAAAGAATAATGAGAAGGAACTTTGAAACGTTCCCGTGCAGCTAAATTCCTCCACCCACTGGATCTTATTACAACAGCATTTTGCAGCCTTGTGAGTACTTTAAAGAAGTATTTGGCAGCGTGTGAACATCCCCACAAGAACCTAGCACACCCTGGATCATGTATACAGCAACATCCATAATGCCTTGAGAGCTGCCCTCCAACCCCACTTTGGCCTTTCAGACCTTCTCTCTCTGTTCCTGTACCCAGCCTACAGACCCAGACTAAAGCAGACAAACCCTGTAAATAAACACATCAGACTCTGATCTCCAGACACTGGGAGTGTTATGCAGGACTGGTTATCATACACAGACTGGGATGTGTTTAAAGCTGCAGCCACACAAGAGGATTCTACTATAAACATAGAGGAGTATGATGAACGAGTGACTGGTAACATCAGCACCTGCACTGACACTGTAGTGACCACCATACAGGTCAGAAAATACCCACACCAGGATGAAGAGCCAGGTTAACAGCACCACAGGAAACACCCTCGCTCAGTGGAGTTCAGATCAGGGAGTGAAGTGGAGTACAGATCCGCAAAGTACAGACTGTGGAAAACAATGAGAGAGGAATAACAGCAGTATAAGGTCATCTGTGACCATTGTGGGTTTTTCTTTGTTTAACGGAAGGGTACCAACAGTTTTGTCCACGTGTGTATATTATTATAGAGTATCTGGGTGATGGGTCATTTTCAGCACAGCAGTGCAACTCACATGGTAGCAGTAGGTGCAGTGCCGGTCAGCTGCTGCAGCTTTGATGACATTTTTAAACATACCACAATCTTAATGTAACAGTCCAGTGTTACTTACCTTTTATTCTCAAAAACTGTGAATGTCTTCAACGTCACTAAATGGGCTTAACAGCTCAGTGTTGCTGTAAAGACAAATTCAGACTGAAAAGTAAATATGATGTGTGATTTTGTAAAGCTCATTATTTGTATTACAGTCTCTTATACTCTGAATTCATTTTGTTAATGTCCATTTTCTGAAACTTGTACAGCCAAAAAGCTTGTAGTTCTAGGAAAACATGGAGGTGGGCAGGTGTACCTCACCTCTACATGTATTAATGGGAATGACATTTTCGACGTGTCACCAAGGCTCTGTGTGCTGATTGGTGGAAGAATATACTGTGTACAGTGTCTTGTGAAAGCACTTAATTATGGTTTAAGATCTCTTAACCGATAATCAGGAACTCTTTAGTGTCTGTAAGTATTGATGGCCCAAATTAGTACTTTGTACAGCCACCTTTTGCTGCACTGATGGCTGCTGTATTAGCTCATCCCATCTAGCCGCTGGGGCTTTTGCCCCATTGTCAGGGCAAAGCTGCTCCAGCTGCTGCTAGTGGGATGATTTGTGTTGCTGTACAGTAATCTTCAATCAGGCTAGAGATTCTCAGGTGGACTGAGGTCTGGACTTTTACTAGTCCATTCCATTACATTTAGATTTTACCTTATGAACCTCTCAGCAGCATATTTAGGGTCATTGTCCTGCTGAAAGCTGAACCTCTGTCTGATTGTCAAATCTTTGTCAGGTTGTCCCTCAGTGTTTACTTTGCCCTGTATTTACTGTCATCCAGCTTCCCTTCAATCCTGACCAGTTTTCCATTCCATAATGAAAAGCATCCCCACAGCATGATGCAGCCACTGCTGTGCTTCAGTGTGAGAATGGTGCTCTCTGGGATGTGGGAAGTGTTGGGTTTGTGCCACACATAATGTTTCTCATGACAGCCACAAAGTTCTGGTTTAGTCTCATCTGACCAGAGAACCTTCGTCCATGTGGTTGGAGAGTCTACTGCAAGCTGTTTGGAGAACCGTGTTTTCTTATTGGAGTGTTCAGCTCAAAGTGGTCCTGTGGACAGATACTCATATCTCTGCTGTGGGTCTTTGCAGCTCCTTCAGTCTTATCTTTGCTGTCTTTGTTCAGAGTCTGATTAATAGCCTCCTGTCCTGTTATAGTAATTAATACCACAACATTTAATGATCAAATATTCCTGTGTAAATTAAACAAACAATTAGAATAGTTACATTAAAGGACCGTGGTATAAGATTATATTGTTATATGCTAACACACAGGCTAATTTATCAGGTATTTAATAACGTATTAATAATACTAGATATGGAGTGTAATAAGGTGTGTCCTGATGAGCGCAACACGATTCAGTTATATCCCACTATATTGATCATGTGTGAAATACTACATATATTGACTGTTGATATTTCACGATATTGATCATGTGTGAAATACTGCATTCATTGACTGTTGATTAATTAGTTTGTGAGGCAGATGAGGCAGTGTCTGTGATTAATTAGTTTGTGAGGCAGATGAGGCAGTGTCTGTGATTAATTAGTTTGTGAGGCAGATGAAGCAGTGTCTGTGATTAAATAGTTTAAGTATGTGCAGCAGCAGTATCATTAGGAGTTGCATGCAGGTGAGGCTTTCTGCACAGCAGTGGACAGCAGGAAGCTTCGTTGTGGTCAAACTGTCCAGAAGGCTGATCAAGGCAGATGAAGCAACAGCATCAGACCACGCAGGATGGGGAGTTGTTGAGCTCGGCAAAGAAAACACACAGTTACTTCTGTTAAGAGAGACTGATTACAACATACAGGGTTAGCAGAGAGCAGCAGAGACTCCAGCAGGTCTAGATATTACAGCCTAACTAAAAGAAAGAAACCAGAAGGGTAACAGAGTCATGAGGCTCCCTGAGATGTCAGCGCCCCTCCGCTCCACCATCAGCAAACCTGAGTGAGTGAGTGAGAGCAGCCAGACGACAGCACCAACACTCCTAGTTTACCATAATTCTCTATGACCATGAACCCCCAGATCTGTACCTTTTATCTAACAGGGAAACTAATCACCAAAGGCTCCACTAAACAAGTAGGTTTTTAGCCTAGACTTAAAGACTGGGGCTGTGTCTGAGTCCCGAACATTGGACTACTGGGACACTTGAGCCAACACTATAACCAACAACATAACATAATGGTGAGCCGGCACAGGAGCTGCACAGGGAACCACTTCAGAAAGAGCAGCAGCTTGGGAAGCCAGCACTGGAACATGAAATGATGCTGGTGTAGAAGCTACATAGGAAACCAGAGTTGGAGGAGCTTGGACGACCAAAACAGGAGCCTTGCATGGACACCGTTTTTTTTTACAGATGTACCTGATTAAAAATAGAAACTATTAAGTTTCAGCATTCAGTTAGCTAGTTTGTTGAAGTTACATGATATTCAGTCTTTTGTGTCTTACACAGTCCTCAATCTTAAGTTAAGGTACTCAATGGAAGCATATACAATGCAAATAATAGAGATCCTGTAACAGAGCCTTGTGGAACACCATAGCTTACTTCTGTTAGAACAGATCATTCACAAACCAATCGGTCAGGTAAGATCTGATCCAGGAAAGAGCTGTTCCTGTTACTCCTACAAGGCGTTCTAGTCTATCTAGTAAGATAGAGTGGTCTGTCGAATCAAATGCCGCACTGAGATTAAGCAGAACCAACAAAGAAACGTTTCCTTGGTCAGAGAATACTAAGACATTATTTACAATTTTCACTAGTGCTGTCTCTGTACTATGAATCCAGACTGAAATTTTTCATGTATGTGATTCCTGTGCAATCCTGCCTTCTGCCCGATGACAGCTGGGATAGGCTCCAGCACCCCACCGCGACCCAGAAGGATAAGCGGTTTAGATGATGGATGGATGGATGATTCCTAGGCAAATATGAACCGTGTTGTTGTGTCACAGCTTTTTACAAAATTGTTGATAGAAAGGGAGGATTTGAGAGGTCTATAATTTGAGAGCTTGCAGGGATCAAGATTAGGTTAGGAGGTGAAATTGCTGCTGTTTTAAGAGCTTTTGGAATATAGCCAAGGCTAAGAGAGGAGTTTCTGATTGACAGAAGAGGCTTAATTATTTCTGGCAAAATGTCTTTGAGTAAACTTGTAGGAATTGGATCTAATATGCAAGTATAACATTTTGAGGAGAAAATAATTTTAACCAGCGTTGTTGAAGTAAGGTGAGAGTTTCCAACCTCTGTGCAGTCGTTACAATGTTCTTAAGATCTGGATTGGCTTTGTAGGGCAGCAGGTTTGTAGAGGTTAACAGTACGTTTTGAATTTTTGATGAACGTACATTACGACTAAAGCAAATTTGATATGAGATTAGGTAATGGTCTGAGACTGCTGTGCTCTGGGGGAGAATGGCTGAATGACCTATGTTTAAACTAAATTTCAGAGTGTAATTAACAATAAAAATTCATCGTTCATAGCTCTGTTTCTGAGAAATGTGTTTTTCCTTGTTTTGCTTTCGTTTCTTTCATTTTGTCCATTTTTGCAGCCAACCAGAGCTTCACTTGGCGGGTCTTTGATATGTTTGACCTCATTTACATGTGAAATCTGATTTGCTCTTGCCTAGAACACAGGTGAAAGTGCTGCAGTGTTTATTAGACACTGGCACGGTAATCACCACCATGGTGACTTTATGAATAGCTCTTATTTACTGTGCCACTCATTTTGTAGTGTAGCACTGTTACCACCCGTGTTGCGATATCACTGTTGACATAAAGCACACAGCTGCACAGCCAAACACCTTGTCTTCTCTTCACTGTCTATACCAATTTTATATTATTAGATAATAACGGTACAAAATAGACAGATAGTTGTGTCGTGCCGTGACATGGGTTTAAAAGCCAAAAGGAAAAAAATGCATTTAGATTTTGTGAATAAAACCTTAAAAGTCTTTAAGAAACAGTTGTAACACATTAACTACTTACATGGCCAGGATCACATTTTCATTCCACACGTCTGTAACTGAAGAGTACCTTGGGAAATATGAACTGTGCGGAGCTGGAGGACCAACACTGTTTTACACTAGAACACAGAAACTGGACCTCTGAGATGCACAGGGATGTTTGATAGACTGATAAGAATACATTTGTAATTGAGAGTATTTGGATGATGAGAAGAAGAAAATAATAAACCAATTCTAAGACTGAACTTTGGAGGTGTGTCTACAGATTCTTTGAGAAACTGAAAGTGAGTCTCCTCAAAAGAAGGACAGACAGAATAAAGTAAAAATCTGATACTATATGTAGTTGTTGAGGCTTCTGTGGAGTTTCCTGTTCAATATATGTTTATATATCTTTCTAATATTTATCAAATGAGGTCTGGGATTTTAAGGGTTAACAAAAAGGGCAACAGTGAACTTTTATATCTGAAAAATATGATTTTGTGGTGAAGATGACGGATTTAATACTGACTAACGGAGAAGACAAAGTAAGAAAAGTAACCAGCGAGATCTGAGCTTTAACAGTACAGGTTCAGTATAAGGCAGGCAGCAGCCCTCTGCTGTCCTTTTTACTGATGCCTTATAACTGTCATAAATAAACAAGACAGAAATTGTATTCATTGAGGACAATGTCTGAGCACAGCATGTGAAACTGAATATACAGTTAACTTAGATGTGGTTCAGTAAAGTCCTGAGTGTACAGACCCAGCAGTGGTGAGATAAGGAGAGACCACTGAGCTGATCACTGCCAGTTTTAGGGAAAGCTAAGAGTGGTTTGTGTTCATGTGTCTGTACTGGTGTCAGATATTTACTACTTTCTCTAAACAAGAAATGAAGCCTTATATCAAACTCTTTACAAGTTGAAATACATTCAAATATCAATACATAACAATGATCACATTTCCACACTCATTAATCTGATCAGACAAATTTAATGTTCTTTATATTTACTGCTGTACGGAGCCCCACTGGTGACCTCCTGTATAAATTAAAAAATAATGCGTGGCCACGCCTTATTAAGGCATGGGAACGAGATCACGGCTTACTAAGTCGTGGCCACGCATTAGGATCTCGTTCCCACGCTTAACTAAGTCGTGGCCACGCATTATTTTTATTTATACAGGATGTCACAAGCGGGGCTCCGTACTGCTGCTCTTTACTAATGTTTATTTTTTTTGTTGTAGTGAGATCTAATGCTTCTATCGAAATTCCTCCAACTCTGGGTAAGTCACATTTCATTTCTAGCTCTTGATCAGTACCTTACCTCAGTACATAATAATCACTAATTAATCAGATTAATTAATACAAAATGTGTGTGTGTATATATATATATATACCTTGCAAAACCAGTCGTATCGTAATGTTAGTGTAGCTTTACAGTCGTATCCTAATGTTAGTATAGCTTTACAGCCGTATCCTAATGTTAGCGTAGCTTTACAGTCGTATCCTAATGTTAGTATAGCTTTACAGTCGTATCCTAATGTTATCCTAATGTTATCCTAATGTTAGCGTAGCTTTACAGTCGTATCCTAATGTTAGTATAGCTTTACAGTCGTATCCTAATGTTATCCTAATGTTAGCGTAGATTTACAGTCGTATCCTAATGTTAGTATAGCTTTACAGTCGTATCCCAATGTTATCCTAATGTTAGCATAGCTTTACAGTCGTATCCTAATGTTAGTATAGCTTTACAGTCGTATCCCAATGTTATCCTAATGTTAACGTAGCTTTACAGTCGTATCCTAATGTTAGCGTAGCTTTACAGTCGTATACTAATGTTAGTGTAGCTTTACAGTCGTATCCTAATGTTATCCTAATGTTAGCGTAGATTTACAGTCGTATCCTAATGTTAGTATAGCTTTACAGTCGTATCCCAATGTTATCCTAATGTTAGCATAGCTTTACAGTCGTATCCTAATGTTAACGTAGCTTTACAGTCGTATCCTAATGTTAGCGTAGCTTTACAGTCGTATACTGTTAATGTAGCTTTACAGTCGTATCCTAATGTTAGCGTAGCTTTACAGTCGTATCCTAATGTTAGTGTAGCTTTACAGTCGTATCCTAATGTTAGTGTAGCTTTACAGCCGTATCCTAATGTTAGCGTAGCTTTACAGTCGTATCCTAATGTTATCCTAATGTTAGCGTAGCTTTACAGTCGTATCCTAATGTTAACGTAGCTTTACAGTCGTATCCTAATGTTAACGTAGCTTTACAGTCGTATCCTAATGTTAGCGTAGCTTTACAGTCGTATACTAATGTTAGTGTAGCTTTACAGTCGTATCCTAATGTTAGCGTAGCTTTACAGTCGTATCCTAATGTTAGTATAGCTTTACAGTCGTATCCCAATGTTATCCTAATGTTAGCGTAGCTTTACAGTCGTATCCTAATGTTGGTATACCTTTACAGTCGTATACTGTTAGTGTAGCTTTACAGTCGTATCCTAATGTTAGCGTAGCTTTACAGTCGTATCCTAATGTTAGTGTAGCTTTACAGTCGTATCCTAATGTTAGTGTAGCTTTACAGCCGTATCCTAATGTTAGCGTAGCTTTACAGTCGTATCCTAATGTTAGCGTAGCTTTACAGTCGTATCCTAATGTTAGTATAGCTTTACAGTCGTATCCTAATGTTATCCTAATGTTAGCGTAGATTTACAGTCGTATCCTAATGTTAGTATAGCTTTACAGTCGTATCCCAATGTTATCCTAATGTTAGCGTAGCTTTACAGTCGTATCCTAATGTTAACGTAGCTTTACAGTCGTATCCTATGTTAGCGTAGCTTTACAGTCGTATACTAATGTTAGTGTAGCTTTACAGTCGTATCCTAATGTTAGCGTAGCTTTACAGTCGTATCCTAATGTTAGTATAGCTTTACAGTCGTATCCCAATGTTATCCTAATGTTAGCGTAGCTTTACAGTCGTATCCTAATGTTGGTATATCCTTTACAGTCGTATCCTAATGTTAGTGTAGCTTTACAGTCGTATCCTAATGTTAGTATAGCTTTACAGTCGTATCCTAATGTTAGTGTAGCTTTACAGTCGTATACTAATGTTAGTGTAGCTTTACAGTCGTATCCTAATGTTAGTGTAGCTTTACTGTCGTATTCTAATGTTAGTATAGCTTTACAGTCGTATCCTGTTAGTATAGCTTTACAGTCATATCCCAATGTTATCCTAATGTTAGCGTAGCTTTACAGTCGTATCCTAATGTTAACGTAGCTTTACAGTCGTATCCTAATGTTAGCGTAGCTTTACAGTCGTATACTAATGTTAGTGTAGCTTTACAGTCGTATCCTAATGTTAGTGTAGCTTTACAGTCGTATCCTAATGTTAGCGTAGCTTTACAGTCGTATCCTAATGTTAGTATAGCTTTACAGTCGTATCCCAATGTTATCCTAATGTTAGCGTAGCTTTACAGTCGTATCCTAATGTTGGTATACCTTTACAGTCGTATCCTAATGTTAGTGTAGCTTTACAGTCGTATCCTAATGTTAGTATAGCTTTACAGTCGTATCCTAATGTTAGTGTAGCTTTACTGTCGTACTCTAATGTTAGTATAGCTTTACAGTCGTATCCTAATGTTAGTATAGCTTTACAGTCGTATCCTAATGTTAGTATAGCTTTACTGTCGTATCCTAATGTTAGTATAGCTTTACAGTCGTATCCTAATGTTAGTTTAGCTTTACAGTCGTATCCTAATGTAAGTATAGCTTTACAGTTGTATCCTAATGTTAGTTTAGCTTTACAGTCGTATCCTAATGTAAGTATAGCTTTACAGTTGTATCCTAATGTTAGTATAGCTTTACAGTCGTATACTAATGTTAGTATAGCTTTACAGTCATATCCCAATGTTAGTATAGATTTACAGTCGTATCATAATGTTAGTGTAGCTTTACAGTCATAAACTATCCTTTAATAAACAAATGTGACTTTTTTTATTTTTAGGAAGATGGAACACAAAAAAATGTCTCTGCACCTAATCTGGGTACGTCTCCTCTCTTTCTTGAAAATCATAGTTTGGTGCTGTTCCATGGTTAAATCACTGAAGACTTACTATTTCAAATTTGCTTAATACTTTGAGTAAATAATGTAATTTTTGATGTCATATTGTAATTGTACAGTTCCATAATGTAACTGTAAGCTCATTTAACGAATCTCAACTTTGAGACCAGAGTTGTGGGAGATGGACAAAAGTGATGTTTGGACTCATAAAATGCTTCATAATTTTTATTAAATGACATTTTTAGTAATTATTATTTTTTTTTTATGTCAATAACACTAAATAGTCATCAAGCATCATATGACAAATTTTAAAATAAATCCAGAATTTCACTGCTAGGACTTAACATTGTTCATAGTTGCTGAAACACCAACAAACACATGCACAATCGGATTTTCTGTTAATGATCTGTTAGAACACTAATCTGTTAAAGACATTATTAAAGGCATCTGTATAAATACATTGTTTCTGTCCTTTGGATTTTACAGTCATATACTAATATTAGCATAGCTTTACAGTCGTATTCTAATATTAGCATAGCTTTACAGTCAAATACCAATGTTAGCATTGTTTTAGTCATCATAATGTAAGTGTATTTTTACAGTCATATTCTATTATACTAAACTAATATTTGTTTTTGGTTTCTCAGATATTAGCTGTGCTGGATCTGTTTTCCAGAATGCTGTCTGATGTGGTAGCTGTGTAGATCTAATGAATGAAATTAAAAGCACATTGTGGTAATAAATGTTATGCTCTTTTGCCAGTTACATGTGAGTCCTGCCATAATAAATGTTTCTGATTTATGAACAGCTAAAAATGAGCAAACACAACACCATAAATGATCACTGATAATTAAAATCTCCCATGAAAATTGAATTTGCTTGTTTGTTTTTTTTTGCTTTTTGGCACTTGTAAGGCAAAAATTGTGTGTATGTGACAATGTTGTGCTCATCTGTGCACTGATCATGTAACAGTAGCAAATGCTCTGAGGTATAATGAATGCCTCATTAAGAATACCATTTCAGTGCAGGCCTTGAATATTATACTCTAAGGGAGGGACGGTTTCTTTGGGTTACCCTAGGGGAGGGAGGGTCTCTCTGTTCTATTCTGAGACAAGGAAGGGTCTCCATTCCACTCACTGTTCTACTGTGAGGGAGGGAGGATCTCCCTTTTTCTACTCATAGAAAGGGAGGGAGGGTCTCTATTTTATAGTCTGAAGAAGGGTTTCTCTGTTCTAATCTGGAGGGTCTCTCTGTTCTGCTTTGAGGAGAGATGTTCTCTCTGTTCTGCTCTGATGAAGGGAGGGTCTCTCTGTTCTACACTCGAGAGAGAGGGTCTCTCCTTTCTAATATGAGGGAGGGAGAGACTTTCTGTTTTACTCTGAGGAAGGGAGGGTCTCTCCATTATACTCTGAGGGAGGGAGGGTCTCTCCATTATACTCTGAGGGAGAGAGGGTCTTTCTGTTATAGTCTGAGGGAGGAAGGGTCTCTGTGGTCTAATCTGGAAGAGGGAGGGTCTCTCTCTCTATAAACCAGCCGCTGCCTGAGGAAGACCAGGAGTTGTCTGGTAGACAACTTCTGGGGAAGATACTTTCTGTTCCACTCTGTGGAAGGATGGTCTCTCTGTCCTGCTTTGAGGAGAGAGGGTCTCTCTGTTCTGCTCTTTAGAGTGTAGCAAAACACCAACATCTGGTTGAGCCAAGTCAATCCTGTTACCCACTAAAAGGGTTTGGCTCCACAAACTCTGAAGTAGAAGCCATTAACAGGATTAAGTTGCCAACAAGTTTTACAGTTTAAAAGGACTTTACCTTAGGAATCTGGACACTATGGGAGGTTAGCAACCCCCCTTTGCTCCATATGGCATACCAGGCAGCTATAAATCCTTGCCTGGAATCCAGCTACAGGCCTCACCAAACTTCTAACTAAACTAAACTTTATTACAAGAAATTACGTTTCTAAATGGTGCACCAATACATGCCACCATTCAACGGGGTACATTTCAAGAAGTCTGGAGACACCAAGAACGAGGTTGTCATAAGAATCTATAACAAAGTCAGCCTTTTTAGATTTTATTGACAATTTAGATGTGGAGAAACAACACCCCCAAGTGGTGAGAATGAAGCACAACACACCACCACCGTAAGGACATGTGCTTATAAAGAACCCAAGAAACTTCTTGCTTTGTCTGCTTAATTGTCAACATTTATATAATCTGTAAGCAATACTACTTGTTTTATTAATCTTATTGCTGTGTATTACCTAAATATTTCCTGTATCTTTTTCTATTACATGCTAGAAATACGTAGTGTATAACTTTGATAACAGTCAGACCCAACCATTTAATTTCAGACCATTGACCAATATGTATCCTGAATGTGGTTTTCTTTTCTTTATTTTGTTCTTTTTCTTTTGTTGTCAATTTTATTTCTTCATGCATTGGGTCATATTCAGATATGATAGGCAAATAGTGCCTGTGTTCGTTGACATGTGTTGTGTATCAGGTAACAAGGGTTAAACTCTCTCTTAGAAACATGCCTGAAACATGCCTATCCTAGTTGTTCATTCCTTGATTTTGAAAGTTACACCAATTTGATGATATAGGAATGTTTCTTTTTCTTTGTTTAAACTAGCTGAAACAAAGGAGGCAGTGATTCTGGGGAAGGCATTGCTAAAATTATGCACAACCAATCAGAGTTGAAAACAATGAATAGCTAGTTAACCTTAGGTGGGGAGAACAGCACTCTGGCTCCACCTCCAAAGGGTAGGGCCTCCAGCCGAGCAATACCAGAGTGCACCGCAAATTTCAGTAGTTCGGAGTCCTGTGTTCTCAACAAGAATATAGCTAAATTTCTAAGTTTGTTCCGGCCTTGGTCAGGAAGACAGGTCAGAAGTATTAGAACGCTAAATTTCAGATCTGAAACCTTTGTTTGTTTTTGTAACTTGTCTGATTGTCTACACACCTTGAACCACCCTCAGAGAAGGAAGGTGAATAGCTCTCGTCCGGCCAGGAGAAGTCGTTCATGTTTCTGACTTTGCCAAAGGTAGTTCATTAGTTAAATTAGTATCACCAGCCTCAGAACCCTGATTGCAACCTAAACCTCACCAGCTGAGTGGGAGCAGTTCTGATGCCACGGAGACCCAGCATCGCACCCAGAGCCACGCACTGATCTGTGAACAGATCGACCATCGAAAGGCCGCCCAAGCTCCACCCTCAAACAGCCACAAGACGCCTCCACCCAATCACTGACGGAAAGGCGCTTGCCGCACGGAGACGCAGCATCCACGACCAGCGAGGAGATGAACCAATGCGTGAGAGGGTCTTCTGTTATAGTCTGAGGGAGGCAGGGCCCCTGTTCCAATCTGGAGGAGGGAGGGTCTTTTTGTTCTACTTTGAGGGAAGATCTCTGTTCTACTCAGAAGGAGGGAGGTCTCTCTGTTCTACATTGAGGAAGGGTCTCTGTGGTCTATTCTGGAAGAGGGAGAGTCTCTATTCTACTCTGATGGATGGAGGGTCTCTCTGTTATACTCTGAGGGAGGGAGGATCTCCCATTTCTACTCTGAGAGAGGGAGGGTCTCAATTCTACACTGAAGGGAGGGAGGTTCAGTCTCTCTGTTCTATTCTGAACAAGGGAGGGTCTCTCTGTTCTACTGTGAGGGAGGATTTCTGTTAGAGATCTATAGGGTCTGTACGTTCTATATTGAGGAAGGGTCTCTGTGTTCTACTATGTAAGAGGGAGGGTTTCTGTTCCACTCTGATGGAGGGAGGGTCTCTCTGTTACTCTGGGAGAGGAAGGGTCTCTCTGTGTTACTCTGGGAGAAGAAGGGTCTCTCTGTTTTACTCTGAGGAAGGGAGGGTCTCTTCTACTGTGAGGGAGGATTTCAAATATACTCTGAGGGAGGACGGGTCTCTCTTTTTACTCAGGGGGAGGGAGGGTCTCTGTTCTGCTGCGAGGGAGGAAGGGTCTCTGTTCCACATTGTGGAGGGAAGGTCACTCTGTTCTATTCTGAGCAAGAGAGTTTCTCTCTGTTGTACTGTGAGGGAGGATCTCTGTTCAACTGTGAGAGATGGACAGTCCCCCTGTTCTACTCTGAAGGAGGAAGCATATCTCTGTTGTACAGTGAGAAATGGTCTGTATTCTACTCTGTAAGAGGGAGAGTCTCTGTTCCACTCTGATGGAGGGAGGGTCTTTATTCTACTCTGAGGGAGGAAGGTCTCTCTGTGTTACTCAGGGGGACGGAGGGTTCCTCTGTTCTACTCTGAGAGAAGAGAGTCTCTCTGTACCACTTTGTGGAGGGAAGGTCTCTGTGTTCTACTGTGAAGAATCAAAACAAATCACATTTATTGTCACATCACATTTACACAGGTGAAGATGAGTGCAAATCTTAGGTGCGTTCTGGACTTTATGCTGTATCTCCTCCCACTCAACAACTGTGAAAACAAACCTGGATTTATAAACCAGTCGCTGCCTGAGGAAGACCAGGAGTTGTCTGTTTCTCTCTGAGGGAGGGTCTGTCTATTCTAGTCTGACGGAGGGTCTTTCTGTTCTTCTGTTATGGAGAGAGGTGGCACAGTGGCGCAGTGGGTAGCGCTGCCACCTCACAGCAAGAATGGCCTGGGTCCGGCCGGGCAACCAGGGTCATTTCTGTGTGGAGTTTGCATGTTCTCCCCGTGTCTGCGTGGGTTTCCTCCGGGTACTCTGGTTTCCTCCCACAGTCCAAAGACATGCAGTCAGGCTGATTGGACATGCTGAATTGCCCCTAGGTGTGTGAATGTGTGTGTATGTCTGTCTGTCTGCCCTGCGATGGACTGGCAACCTGTCCAGGGTGTATCCTGCCTGCTGCCCAGTGACAGCTGCGATAGGCTCCAGCACCCCACCATGACCCAGAAGGACAAGCGGTTTAGATTGTGTGTGTGTGTGTGTGTTATGGAGAGAGGGTCAGTCTTTTGTAATCTGATGGAGGGTTTCTGTTTCACTTTAATGCAAGGAGGGCTGTTTCACATTGCTGAGGGAGGTTCTCTCTGTTCTACCATGATAGCAAGGAAGGTTTTCTCTTTTCCAATCTGTGTAGGGAAAGTCTCTCTGTTATGATCTGAAGGAGGGTCTCTACTCTGCGGTGGGAGGGTCTCTGTCTTCTACTCTGAAGGAGGAAGGGTCTTTCTTTTAGATAGATAGGTAGATAGATTCAACTTTATTGACATAGTTCAGTACAAGGCAATGAAATGCAGTTAGCATCTACTAGAAGTGCAAATACTAGCAATAGTGCAAAACAGTGCAAATGTGCAATAATAGGCATAAAATATCTATGAAATATATAAATATGAATATTATATATACAATTACAAATGTATCTATGAATATGATATAACACACACACGCTTCCGGGTTCTCCTCCCTTGCCTAATACTCTCCAGGACTCCAATTCCCATGATTCCAATCCTGATGATGTCACTCTTTCCACCAATCACACACAGCTTCCTCGTTCTCAGTCACCTGAGTATTAATGCAATACACCTGTGTTTGTTTGTCCCAGGCTTTAAAGAGTTTCTGGTTTGTTCTCCTCATTGCGAGGTATTGCCCTTCACTGGACTACTGAGTGTTTCTTCTACTGTTTTTCTAAACTTGTGTATTGGACCCTTTGCCTGTTTTTGGATATTGCGTTTTTGTGTTTGCCCTTTTGCTCTGGTTGCTTGTGCATTTTGTATCTTCTGGTTTTTTGACTTTTGCAAGGCTTTTGGATTCTGATTTTGGATTTGCCCTGAAACTGTCTGACCGTCTTACTGTCTCTCATTAAACCACTTCCTTTTTTAGATCCGCGAGCATCTTTCTGTGCTTGTGCAGCATTACAGTGTGTTATATCATATTCATAGATACATTT